GGGGAAGGATAGTTAAGCCAAAAAATGGGTCTTGTCCAAACGTTTTGAGCACTTTCAACTATATTTCTGGTCATTATTCTAAGAGAGGCACGGTGGAGTAATAGATAGCGGCTCGGATTGAGGAATTGGAGAGCCAAGTTCGAATTTCAGTCGACTCCATTACATTCACTTATATGCTAATACCCTTAAATTCTCTTCTTCTCCTCCCAGCTATGGGTAAATAGAAGGACAGCCTGATGGCAAGTAGTCTAAAGCAGAAAGAAATGGCAACCTACTGCGGGAAAATATCTGCCTTGTCAGTCATGTATTGAAAGATACATGATCGCCTAAGCGTGTATCACGCATGGTACCTAACTGATTGAAGGTAGTTGTAGTGTAATCAACATATAAATTGGATTTTTTTTATTGTGGTAGGCAAGCGAATACATGTTACTTATTTTGCTGGTCGGTGTTTGTAACAATAAGGTTAGATGCTTTTAATTCTTAATGTGTGCTATAGAATTTTCTTTAAAGTTTTCTTTGTTCTTCGACGCTGTGATTAGGAAATAAATTGTTCACGGGCGTATTGTGCAGAGATATGAAACATACAGCAACATAAGTATATATAAAACACAAAAGTCTTCATATATATATATATATATATATATATATATATATATGTGTGTGTGTGTGTGTGTGTGTGTGTGTGTGTATTCGAAATTCAAGGAGTGCATATATATACTTGCAAAAGTCTGGTTAACAAAATAATATAAATTTTGTACTTATCTGTTTGGTTGTCACGAGCCAGAAATGGTACGTCTTCTTGATATAACTTCACGGATCAAGAAGATTGGCTCTCCCGCCTAATGATGTCTCGTGTGGGTCTCGTCAGATCTGTTTTTTTTCTCCTCGTGAATAATTATAATTAAGGGGTCAAGGGGAGATAACTTTTTGTCTCTTACTACAACCCTCTTCACCTAGTAGCGGAGTCCAGTAGAAGTGATATTGATTGTCTCTTTCCCAAAAAACTTTCCTACATGCTTTCGTATGACGAGGCTTAATATTTCTATCTATGATTTCTCTATCTGTTATGATATCATCTCTATGAGGTTGCTTTTTCGTTATTACTTGCTTATCACTTTTAGGTTCAACGTATAGTTTTAATTTATCCTGTTGATACCGTTGACTGTATCTCATTGTTCATTTTAATTACAAAATATTTGTCAGTTCTACGGAACACTTGAAAGGGACCAATGTATAGGGCTTTCAGAGGCTTGTAAACTCTATCTACTCTTAGCCATACATTTTTACATGCCTTAAGCTTGCCAGGAACTTATTGACGTGATTTATTTACAGAGCTATTTATTATCAGTACTAAAATTGTATTTTTTAAGTCTGGACATTTTTGTAGCTCAAGGTCCTTAAGTTGTGCAGCAGCTATAGCTAGAGATCTACCATAACTGCTACGGTAGGTCTAAACAAGCAATCAGCTATAACGTTTTCATTCCCCTTTATGTCGCCTATATCTGATATATATTCTGCGAGAATTGCTAATTGCCGCTTCGATCTATCTAACTTAGCAAGGTTTAGACTACGGAATGTACCGCAGAAATGATTATGGTCATTTAATAATAAACTTGTTTTCCTTCGATAATATGTTTAAAATATAATGTAGCTGAATATATTGCAAAAAGTTCATTATCGAAAGTCGAATACATAGTTTGCGTTTGAGTTAACTTTTTAGCGAAGTAGCCTACTAGAATTGGTGCTACTTCTACTATTTGATCTAGGGTTGCACCATAATTGTTGCTATCAGTAATCAACTGACATTCAGTACATAAAAATCCTGTTGTATCAAGTCTTATTTTTTTTGTTTAGCCTTTTGCATCAGTGTTTACTGTTTACATGAACGTAACACGTTCGCATAATAAATGTGTGCTCTGTATATTTTTTGTAATTATCCCTTCTGGGAAGGTTTTTTTTTTTTTTTTTTACTGTAAGGTATTGCTGAGGTTTTAGTAGGCACTTCTTTCGTCTGAATTCGGTTGCACGTGCTTATTTTAGCAGTGCCTTGTATTAAAGTCGTTAATAAGCGCGCCAATTGTATCAGCCTAGGTGGGTCGTTTAAGTCTTTTTGTGTTGCGATGGAAGATGGTAATACTTGTAAACATTTGTGTAAAACTATTTCGTTGCCTATCTCTAATCTTTTTTGCAATCGACAACATTTCTTGAAGGTAAATTGATGGTCGACCTGTAACAATAGAGGTGGACATTTTCTGGCTTTCTTCGTGCGTTTCAATTAAAGTCTTTTTTAAATAATCGTAGTTGTGAGAATCCAGAATGTTGCTAGGAATTTTCGCCACTGTTTCCGGAGGTAGAGACGCAATAACATTGCAAAATTTGGTGATTTGGGAAGTTACGTTTCTTAGATAGAATTGAGATTCAATAATTGTGAACCAACAGGTAATGTTAGTTTGCATGGATTCAGGTGGCTTAATTGTTATTTGTTGGACAATTGGCTCGTGGCACTCTTGTTCTATTTTTTAATTTTTTTTTTTTGTTTGTATCCTGTGTGTAATATATATATATATATATATATATATATATATATATATATATATATATATATATATTGGAATTCACGAGATATGTTGCTATGGATTTGTTTTTCTTTTTTTTCTTTTCAGTTGGCTTATCAAAATGTGTTTTTCGTTGTGGTCACCAAATATATTGTGCGGGAATATGAAACATAGACCCCGTTTAAAGTATATGAAACACATGACAACATAAATATATGAAAAGTTCAAACAAAACATAAAAGTCTTCGTATAAAAAACACTTGTACACACACATAGACAAACACACACATACACACACATATATATATATTTTCTATATTCGAAAGTCTTAATACAAGGTTTGCATATATCTACTTGGAAAAGACTGGGTACCAAAAACAATACAAATTTTGTACGTATCTGTTTGGTTGTTACGAGCCAGAAATGGTATGTCTTGTTACTATAATTTCACGGATCAAAAAGAGGAAGATTGACATTCTCGCCTAATGATGTCTTGTCGGGTCACGTGACTGATTTTTATTTTTGTGAATATTTATAATTAATTTTTTTTGTTTTGGGTCGAGGGGAGATAACTTTTTGTTTCTCGTTACAAGCGTTAAACGTATAAAATACAAGCGTATAAAATATCATGTAAAAATAAGGAGAAATATATTGAAGGTCATGTATGAGTGTGTGTTTATTTGTATCTTATATTTATATATACGTAAGAGAATGTTTTTTAAACCAAATTTCTCACTCACTTTAAAGTAGGTACCTCCATTAGGTCACGTAAAAAAAGCGGCATATCACGATGAATAAAAGTCCATAAATCAACGAAAACAAAGTTTTGTCTCAATATGTTTATGTTGTTATGAAGAGGAAAGAGCAAAGTATTTTTTGATTATTTTTTGAAATTTTTTACTCCTTTCTAGCATGTAGAAAATTCTGGTTAAATTTTTTTTTTTTATGACAGCGCAATAAGAGAAAAAATTTTTTTATTTTGCGCTTTTCCCGAGGAAAACATACGTTAATTAGGAAATTCTTGCAAAAATCAAACAATTGTCGGATTTTAATGAAACTTTCAGAAATGAATGAAATTATTTTTGAAATTTTTTTTTAAATTCAGACACATCGCTAAGAAATGTTTGGATACAAATTTTTATGCTATAAGTAAGTACTGTTAGTTTCATATCAGATTAATTTAACTTTAAATTTTCTAATTTTACTCAAATAACGCGTCAAAAATATATAAATTTATTTTAAGAAGAAGTTTAAAATCAAAATTTTGTTTTTGTTTAAAAGACACCAGAATATGTTACTTACTGTAAGTAATGCATTAGCTTTCAATTAATAACAACATATTGAGACAAAACTTTGTTTTCGTTGATTTATGAGCCTTTTTTGATAGTGATATGTTGCTTTTTTATGTGACCTAATGGAGGTGCCTACTTGTGTAAATACCTTTATTTTCTCTGAAAGGAGATAATTAATCATTTGTGTTTATTCAGAAAATATAATTGAAATCAACAACATAATGAAAACAAGAGAAAATAAATTTGAAAAAATAAACTTTATTTCATTCAATATTACGAGAATGAATAAGTATCAGTAGGATATGATTGGAAAATTCATAAAAATAAGTTGATAAATATATTCAAGAATATTTCGACCCCAGGGTAAAAAAAAAATAATTAAATACTGAAATAACAAATGATTGAAATTATGTGGATTGCAATATTAACTGTTGAAATAAAATTAAGAGAAAATGTCCAAAAAAAAAAAAAAAAAAAAAAATCCTTAAGGGTGTATTTCAAGGAATATAGGAAAAGAAAGAAAGAATATTGAATAGAAAAGAAACCATGGGTTTTGTTATTGGAAATAGAAAGAAAAACAGAATATTAAAATGTAGGAGAATACGAACAAGACAAAGTAAAAGAAAAAAAGAAAAAGAACATGATATTGTTTGTAGCAATAAGAATAAGGCTAGATTATTCGTAACATATTAAGCAGCCGTTATTTCTATTAGCCGCATTACTTAGAACGATTACTTCACTACATATATAAATAAAAAATATTTTAGTTATCAATAATATAAGTGACAGATGGCTATAAAACTGCACTGTTGATTATGCATGGCTAATTTCTTTAAATAATACACTGATTATTGTTTGCATCATGTGGCAATAATTGTAAGCAAAATGATGTACTAAAATAAGTCAACAAATAATCGTTTTAAGTTCTCTGAATATCGGTGCCTTAGATATTTCTTTTGGCTGTTATTATAGATGGTAAGCTTTATATTTTCATTGTCATAAAAAGAAAGAAAATAGAACGAATAGTTAAGATATGAAGAAGAATTGAAAGAAAGGAAGAGAAAGAAATAAAAAGATACAAGATGCTAGAACAGAAAGAAAAGATGAAAGAAAGAAAAAAGTTAATGAACGCTACAAAGAGAATTGAAACAGAAGTTGAAAAGAAAAGAAAGAAAGAAAGACAGAAAGAAAGACAGAAAGAAAGAAAGAAAGAAAGACAGAAAGAAAGAAAGAAAGAAAGAAAGAAAATGGTGTTGGAAAAGTGATCATTATAAAAAAAAACGCTTCCTGTTAGGAAGAAGTAAATTAATAATGTTTTAATAAATTTAATAAAGTTTTATAGAAAATTCTAACAAAAAGAACACTTATACTTAAATTCAGGAAGAAACAGTTGAAATTTTTAGGACATATGAGGACAGAGAGCTTGGAAAATTTGATACTCTCAGGACAGATTGAAGGAAAGAGGGACAGAGGAATACAACGCATAACCTACCTATTGATCTTGAGTAAAGAGAGATAATAAAAAACAAAATTTATTATGAGGAAATTGTGGAGAGCCAAGATCGCCAACGCGATGAAGGGACACGGTATATAGAAGAAGGTGAGGAAAGAAGAAGAAGAAGAAGAAGAATAGAACGGAGAATAGAGAGGAGAGAACAAATTAAATTAGATAATAACTTATTGAAATCGACAAATAATGAAACAAACCACAGAAAAATGACAGCACGTAATTTTATTTTCATGTTTTCTTGTAAAGTAAATTATAACAATTTATATGAACTGAAACCTCAGGCGAGAAAAAGAAGAGGAAGAATCGTCAAGAAAATATGAGGAATTGCTAAAAATAAAGAATTAAAAGAGAAAGCAAACGAATAAAAGAAGAAATACTGTAAAATGTATTGTTTCAAAAAGAAAACTAGGATAATGAAAAAGAGCGATAAGAAAGTGGTTTTTAGAAGGTAATTTTAGAAGTGAATGAATGATAAAGAAGCTGACTGGAGAGAGAGAGAGAGAGAGAGAGAGAGAGAGAGAGATGAGCAAATAGAACATTTCAGAGAAAGAGAGAGAGAGAGAGTAACAAACAAAATGGAAAGTAAGATAATGAGACGAAATATACAAAATATAGATATGTAGAGAGTGAAAATAGTAAAAAAAAACAATAAAAAAAAATGAAACACTCATGGCAGACTGTGATGCAGTATAAAATTATGCAAATGATATCGGGATGCTAAACATGCAAACAAACGGTTTGAGCAAAGGTTAGTTGAAATTGCGACCAGTTAAACAAGAATCAATCTAACAGATATGAACAAGTAAAAATAAAAGTCTGCCATCTCGTAGACATGGTTATCCGATTAGACCAAAAGGCAAAAGCAAAAGTAAATGGAAAATATAAAAATACTGCAGAACTTGAAGGTTATATTATTTACATTATTTGGACTATTGTCCTCATCTTTGTCGCCATATTCAAGGACATATGGCACAATAGACAAAAGCGTTAGTTAGATCAAGTGACAGGACCCAAAGAGTGTGAGTTCAATACTCGGTTAAGGCAGTGGAGAACTTTCAGAGGGAAATTAACAGGCGATAACTGATAACTGACATCCATTAAATATGGTTCATGGAACTATAACAGTCTACCCCAGTGAGCAAAATAAAGGGTTCAGTTCGACATTCCAACCACCTGAAGAAGGCCGGAGTGTACAACGGCCGAAACGTTGTAATAAATATGTCGACAAAGATGAGGACAATAGTCCGAATAATGTAAATAATGTACATAATACCTCATCTCAGAAATATAGACAGATATTGAAGGTTATAGTTATACCCCTAATAATAGGAGTACTGGAACCATGTGAAAGGCACTACAGACGAAATTAGAATAACTGAATATTAAGAATAAAAACTGAGACTTGAGCAGTGCTGGAGTCGGTGGGGATATGGAAAGTGCTGAAACCCAGGTAAAAAAGGGCTTCAAATAGGCAGGTCCTCCCCACTTAAAAGACTTCGCAGCACCCACTGCCTTTTGCCATACTAATCTGAGTTTAATAAACATCATGGTACAAAGAATATTTTTAAAAAGAATTGAAAGGAGAGGTTTATCCACAGAAAAGGAAAAAAAAGAAGCATTTTCAGGATAAAATGAATAAAAAATAAAAAATCTACTTGGCGCCTGCCTTAGGACAATGGTTAGCAAGCTTATCTTGTAGAGCGTCACGGGTATCAACTTTTTTTGTGGCCTTGTATCAGATTAAATTAAGCTTGATAAATATCTAAAATAAAAATTAAGTAATATAGACATTTACTCAGTTCAGTTTAGGTTGGCCCAAGGAAAAGTGGGGAGGAAAGGATCGGTAGTAAGAGTGGGCCGAACTAATTTTCCAAATAAGGAAAGCCTGCTTCTGAAATCAGCGTTTATGTTTGTCTGGCTTGGAAAAACTGACGACTGACGTGAGTAGAATGTAAGCAAACCGTTTCAGCCACGAAGCAGAAATATTTGCAAACTGCTGTATATTGTTGGAACGTGAATAAACAAAATATTAAAACGATTGTGTATATACAGAAAATAGTATAAAAATAAGATATCAAAGGAGATAAAAAAAAGTTTGTGATAAACACCGGAAAGACATCCAAAAACTGTTTTTTATTGTCCTACCTAAGAAATTAAAAAGCCTAGAAAAATTAACTAAAATTAGATTGTGGCTAAACAAAATAATACATTATTTGAATTAGGAATTCATAGAAATAAACATCTTGTAAAAATACTGTGGGAACATTAAGAGAAATGATCGATTTCTAAAGTCGGATTTAGTTCACGAGCGAAAGTAGCGGGAAAATACCATGGCCACGTGTTGAGAGTTGTTTTGTTTTTGTTTTTTTCGCTTTTTCAAGTGAAAAGCATGAGTCAACAAATACGACTTATGAACATCCTAAATGGGAAAAAGCCCCAAATGCGATGTTGTGCGCTGCTTTTATTAAAACCAGTCACCATAACGCGCACATTATACTGTCTGTGATCCCTGTAGTGTATTCTTACCAGAATGGGAGCCATATAATTGGTATGTTGGGCTTCGTATATTTGTACCCCAGTGTCATTCTTTGGGCATACAGTTCTCTCACACGATAACAATAATAATAATAATAATAATAATAATAATAATAATAATAATAATAATGTCCCACAACCCAAGCGGCGATTAAACCAGATCTAGCTAATGTAGAAAAACAACATTTGTAAAATAGTTGATATCGCCTTCTGACATAACACAGTGAATATAGTTGATTGGAAGGTTATTTAAGAATGACATTGCCATGGAAAAATGGAAAACTAAGGTAACCGTTATAGCCATAATTACTGGAGCACTTAAAATGGTCATAAAGACACTTATAATAAGACTGAGAAAATTGGAAATTCTGAGAATAATTGAAATTCTTAGAAAAAATAGTGTTGCTGAAATTGGGCAAAAATTGAAAAGAATATCGGTTTTTCGCGAAGAGTTGCTGCCACTCGATTCCAATCAAAAGCCGTCAGATATCACCAGCAGGAAACACACACACACACACACACACACACACACACACACACACACACACACACACACACACACACACACACACACAAATTGCAGGGAAATTTGATTAGACTTTTTGTCAGTTGATTTCCATCAAACGGCATCAAATATGATTGGTGCGAAAAGTCATACAATGATTGAAAACTATGTTATGAATACGAGTCGTACAATGATTAAAATATCTAATGTTGATGATGGGAATAAATTTCAACGACGAGTTTTACTGGTCGCTTTAAATTTTATGCAGGTCATCTTTCTTTTTTTTCTCGTACGAAACAAACAAATGTTTTACTTCAAGAGTCCTTATTTACAAAAGTGAGCTTTGTCTCCTTAAAACAAAGCCATAAAAGTGGAACGGTGTACCTTGTCAAGATCAAACTTTCAGCATCAAGAATGTTTTAAAAATTAATTCTCCCCAAGCAAGGCGATAACGCCACTAAGACGCAAAGGTTACTAAAAGAGAAGGAAAAGACTTTATAAGGAACCAGAAACCCAATGATAGTATGAATTTCAGAGTTTACGCGAAGAATTTAGAAGGATCTGTAAACCTAATCCTAAACAGGATACAAGGATTAAACCTCTACTCGTGTTCAAAAGAGCGGAGAGGTGGGGAACGTGCCGACAAATGAACCTATCTACTCCTGCCCCCCCAAGCCTGATAAACCACCACTTTACATTATGGACGAATAGGCGCGTTTGTGTATGTGTGTGCGCGTACATATATATATATATATATATATATATATATATATATATATATATATATATATATATGAGTTCAATGTATACATAGATGCATTAGTGTAGTTGTGTGTGTAGGCATGTGAATGCATCTTTGTACATTTTATGATAATGTGCATAAATATTCATGCAGGAAGATGCTATGTGTGTCGTCTTTTCTACTGAATTTTATTCCTTCCTGTACGATTATATGACTGAGTTGTGTGTGAATCTGTGCGATTATGCGCATGTGCATGTGTCTGTGCGCGCATGTGCATGTTTGCCCATGTCTGTTGACTATATTGAGTAAAATCAAGCTTTTTTTTCTTTCCTCTCGCGAATTTAAAGGAAAGACTAAATAAAACAAATTACATCAAGTCGAAATGAGGTCAAACAAATATGGTGTTAAATATTCTCAAAAATTTTTGTTGTTGTTTTCAATGTTTAAATTCTTCTTCAAATAAATACGTGAACAGGCGATTTCAGTGATGATTTGTCACTCCAGAGTCTGCTTTAGCTTGTATTGTAAGAAAATGAAGGTTTTCTTCTTTTTTATTGATACAAGTGTCTGATTTTTAGGAACTGAAAAAATACTTTTTCGGACCTCAGAGATGTTAGTAGATATTGATGAATCAAGAGATCTTAATTCCTGTTCTTTTATTGTTTTCTCTCCTCAATGATGTTTTTCATTTCTCATATTCTTAAACACGCAGCAGCTACTTGCGTCTTAGTGGCTTTATTGCCCTGCTCGGGGTAAAATGAATAAAATATAATCGTCAACAAAAACAACGATAGAAAAGTCAATAACAATAATAATACGAAGAAGAAAACTTGGAATATAACCGGACAAACCGATGGTAAATACACAAAGTAAAATATAAAAGTAAAATTCTGTAGAATATTAAGATTTAAACGGATCATCCAACCGAGACAAGGACATTAAATCTAGTAATCGTAAAAATATGTCAAAATAGTGGATGTTGCTGTATCCAACAGATCACAGAATACAATTAAAATCATATATAATATTAATTTTAAAAAAATGATAAAGAAAAATGGATATCAGAGAATTAAAGAAATTAATTATGATGGTGATTAATGTACATGTTAAAAATGTAGTCTTGGTGTTATTTGGACGGTAAGTTTCTAAACGATAATTCTTTAAAAATATTTGAAAGACGGCTGCTGTTTCACGACACGAGCACCGTAACTCATTAGGGTCGTGGGGTCACCACATATACTGCAGTCAGAGTAGCAGGGGGCGTGTCTTGAGCAAGATAATCTGATGAATTTTAACCTTCTCCAGGCTGATTTGAATAGAGTTTTCCTTCTCCTAGATTGGTTGCCAACCTAAGCTAAAAGCACAGTCTGTTCAGTTGTTTATCCATAGCTATAGGAAGGGATGTATTAATACATTTCCCAAGGGTTTTATCACGTGAATATAATGAATCTGACTGGAATTGAACCTCAGCTCTCTGATTCCTCAAACCGAGCTTCTATTCATTACTTCAGTGTCTGCTTTTTAAGAACCGAAAAACACACTTTTTGGACCTCAAAGATGTGAGTAGATTTTGGTGAGTTAAGTGATTTTTGCAATAAGGAGCTTTTTAATAAAAGATATTCGATATCGTTGGTCCAGCAGATCATGGAGGGAAAAAAAAAAAAAAAAAAAAAGCTGGTAAAATGTGTGAAAATATTGAAAAATTGTAGAATATGTAAGTAACTTATTAGAATGCTTGGAATATTCCTGAAGTGCCTTGAACACTTTTTGAAGAATTGGACATCCGGGAAAGAATTGAAGCAATCCAAACGATAGCATTGCTAAAATTAGGTAGAATACTGAGGAGGGTCCTAGTGTATTTAGGGGATCTGTTGTCATTTGATTTCCAGCGAAAGCCACCAGACGATGAAATGAGAAAAACTCAACAATAACAATAATTTTTCCAGATTGAGTTGAAGTATCGGTCATAATCAGGTTACAATGTAAAGATACTCTCTTGTTGGAAAAGATGCAGAAGTACCAACACAATTGGAAAAAGTTGACTTTTCATATTTTTAGCGGCCTCAGGAGAGGCAGCAATCGTCGACGATGACAACGTCGACGATGACAAAGTCGACGATGACAACATAGACGATGACAACGTCGACGATGACAACGTCGACGATAATGGCCACAATGACACTGACCACGGTGACAAGGATGACGAAGACGAAGATGGGGTTGTCGTGGGTTGAGGGTCTACAAAATAAGAAGGAAAATTCTTTGTAATAAGGTACAAGAAAATTAATCCTGCGAAAGAAAAATACTGTTATTTTTAAGAAAAATATTTGTAGCTGAAGCAAAGTCAAAAGTTTCTTGGGCCAACAGGAATCTCTACTCGCCAATATTAAGCGTCACTCGGCATAAGAGCCTCTACGAGATCTTCATGGATGGCACTGTTTAAGTCGGACGCAAACAGGGAGATCAAAATCAATAATTATACACAGGGCAAGGGTCAAAAATCTCTTGGGCCGGCAGGGATCTCTCCTCGCCTCTATAGAGCATCACACGGCATAAGAGCCTCTACGAGATTTTCATGCAAGGCACTGTTTAAGGCGGACGCAAACAGGGAAATCAAAACCAATAACTATACACAGGGCACGTCAAAAATCTCGTGGGCCGACAGGAATCTCTCCTCGCCAATATTAAGCGTCACACGGCATAACAGGTTCTACGAGATCTTCATGGATGACACTGTTTAAGGCGGATGCAAACAGGGGGATCAAAACCAATAATTTTACACAGGGAAAGGTCAAAAATCTCTTGGGTTGACAGGAATTTCCCCTCGCCAATATTAAGCGTCACACGGCATAAGAGCCTCTACGAGATTTTCATGGATGGCACTGTTTAAGGCGGACGCAATCAGGAGGATCAAAACCAACAACTATACACAAGGCAAGGTAATAAATCTCTTGGGCCGACAGTAATCTCTCCTCGCGAATATTAAGTGTGACACGGCATAGCAGCCTTTACGAGATCTTCATTTATGGCACTGTTTAAGGCGGATGCACTCTGGGAGATCAAAACCAAAAACTATACACAGAGCAAGGTCAAAAATCTCTTGGGCCGGCAGGAATCTCTCCTCGCCAATATTAAGCGTCACACGGCATAAGAGCCTCTATGAGATTTTCATGGATGGCACTGTTTAAGGCGGACGCAAATAGGGAGATCAAAACCAATAACTATACACGGGGGCAAGGTCATAAATCTATTGAACCAGCAGGAATCTCTTCTCGCCTCTATTAAGCGTCACACGGCATAACAGCCTCTATGAGAGCATCATGCAAGGCATTGTTTAAGGCGAACGCAAACAGGGAGATCAAAACCAATAAATATACACAGGGCAAGGTCAAAAATCTCTTAGGCTGACAGTAATCTCTCCTCGCGAATATTAAGCGTGACACGGCATAGCAACCTTTACGAGATCTTCATTTACGGCACTGTTTAAGGCGGACCTACTCTGGGAGATCAAAACCAAAAACTATACACAGAGCAAGGTCAAAAATCTCTTGGGCCGGCAGGAATCTCTCCTCGCCAATATTAAGCGTCACACGGCATAAAAGCCTCTACGAGATTTTCATGGATGGCACTGTTTAAGGCAGACGCAAACAGGGAGATCAAAACCAATAACTATACACAGGGCAAGGTCAAAAATCTCTTGGGCCGGCAGGAATCTCTCCTCGCCTCTATTAAGCGTCACACGGCGTAACAGCATCTATGAGAGCATGATGCAAGGTACTGTTTAAGGCGGACGCAAACAGAGAGATCAAAACCAATAACTATACACAGGGCAAGGTCAAAAATCTCTTGGACCGGCAGCAATCTCTCCTCGCCAATCAAAACCAACAACTATACACAGGGCAAGGTCGAAAATCTCGGGGGCCGACAGCTTCGAATATTACGAGATCTTCATAGATGACACTGTTCATTTACGGCACTGTTTAAGGCGGACGCAAACAGGGAGATCAAATTCAATAATTTTACACAGGGAAAGGTCAAAAAATCTCTTGGGCCGACAGGAATTTCTCCTCGCCAATATTAAGCGTCACACGGCATAAGAGCCTCTACGAGATTTTCATGGATGGCACTGTTTAAGGCTGACGCAAACAGGGAGATCAAAACCAATAACTATACACGGGAGCAAGGTCATAAATCTTTTGGGCCTGCGGGAATCTCTTCTAGCCTCTATTAAGCGTCACACGGCATAACAGCATCTATGAGAGCATTATGCAAGACACTGTTTAAGGCGGACGCAAACAGGGAGATCAAAACCAATAACTATACACAGGGCAAGATCAAAAATCTCTTCTGTCAGCAGGAATCTTTCCTCGCTAATATTAAACGTCACACGGCATAGAAGCCTCTACGAGATCTTCATGGATGGCACTGTTTAAGGTGGATGTAAACAGGGAGATCAAAACCAATAACTATACACAGGGAAAGGTAAAAAATCTCTTGGGCCGGCAGGAATCCCTCCTCGCTACTTTTCAGCACCACGCAAAGTAGCATTCATTGCAAGACTACGATAAAAGTCACTGTTTAATGCAGGGCCGAAAAACGCAAGTGCTAATCAGACAACACCAAAGAGAAGATGGACATCACAATTCCAGAACTTCTGAGAGCCGCCATGAACAGTTCATTCCTGGAGGAGTTTGTCTATTTCTTGTGCCCTTAGGTCCCCCGATTGTTGAAGCAGTCGAGGGACTGATGATGATTATGAAACGTAAAATTATTGAAATGTATTAAATTTGTTAGTAAAATTCATTCTCTCTGACACTTACTTTCGAGTTGTTTGCAACTGTAGCAACAGTATATCCTTTGTGTGGGTTTCGTGCAGAAATCTGGCAACCGCTTTATAATATCAGTACAGTTTTTCGGTTGGTAGACAACCCCACCCGGATACTGAATATTAAAGTTCATGTTCTCGTCATCTCCAAAGAGACAATTTTCTAGCAGAGAAAAGTAAGAAAAAACAAAAAACAAAAAAAAAAACATAAAACAGCATAATTAATAATTTTAATTAATTTTTCTTTTCATTTTATTGTTTACTGTTATTAGAATGTCTTAGGATGGATTATTTTAACGGTAGGAGGCGCGGTAATCGATGTTGAAAGTGTAATCGATGAACCGAGTTCAGATTCTGGTTTATCCTGTTTCGTTCACTTCAAATTAATGTTCTTGGAAAAGGCATGAATCTATCTTCCCCCAGTTAAATATCAGAGCAAACTGGAATGTCCTGCCTTAGGGTGGCAACGAATCTAGGAGATGAAAGAAACTGAACTCAAAACTAACGGGCAAAAGGACTGACTCCGCCAGGTTATTTTGTCCGAGACACACCGCTTCAGGTATGGTTGTGCACCACAACCATATTAGAAGCAGTGTTTAGTTATTGGTTCATTGTGCCCTTCCTTTTGACAGTTCGTTTGCTTCATCTAATAAGAAAGTTTGTGTATCATGAGTACTGCTGGGGAGCCATGTTCTTCCAAACAGCAGTTTTTCTCTTGGTTCCTAGAAGCTGCTGCATAGTGGGCAACTGACGATTCCGTTAAAGAATAAAAGATTTGTTAAATCTCTGGGTGGGTTTCAGACCTTGATGTTTTTGGATATTTTATTACTTTTTGAAATTTTTTTATCATATCACGTCCTCCCCACTTACTAGATCAGATCACCACCACCCAAATGTGAGAAAAAGAAAGATCGCACTTCGGTGTCTGTTAATTAGTTATCATTCATAGATTTAAAAAAAAAAAATTTCTAACTTTTGAACAAAAGAGCCTTAAAGAAAGCAAAGAGGATTATAACCTTACTTAAGAGATTCGGAAATGAGATGCATGATTATAAATGTCTGATTCTTGAAGAGAAAATTAAAGAAAGAGTTCTACGATCCTCTGTTTTCTCATCTTTCTCTCTTGTTCAGATATACACTCTCTCTTCCCCGTCTCTCCCTCTCTCTCTTTCTCTTTAAACAACCTTATATATCTCTTTACTATTTGCATCTTACTTTAACTCTCAATGAAATCGAGCTCTCTCTCTTTCTTTCTCACTCTCGACTTCTCTTTCTTGTTATGATTTTCTCATTCAGATCATCTCTTTTACTCGCGCCCTTTTATTTTCAGGACTTTTTTTTCTCTCTTTCTATCTTTCTTACTTGATATTACTATTAATGAACTCTCCTCGATACTTTATAACTCAATTTTTATCGACGTATCCTCAAAGTTGGTTTTGTTTCTCTTCACCTCTCAGAAATGCCTTCATTTTGGCATACAGGCACACACACACACATATATATATATATATATATATATATATATATATATATATATATATATATATATATACAAAAAAAAATAAGACAATTAATTTCCTATTTTGGCTAATCAAAAACCTCAAAGAACATCTTGATGTTTTTAGCCAATCAGAATTTATTTTATTGAATCTATATATGGAAAACTGTTTTACATTCATTGATACGACCAAAAGACAATTGCTTGGCTATGGAATCAAAATTGTCTGTCTGGTTTTTGTAAGTTAAAGGATCGAATATAGTAAATAGTAAAAACTTTTTTTTATGCAAACAGGGCTTGGATCGAGTGGAGTGAATTTTAAGAAAAATAAAACGGCTTCGATAAACAGTTGAAAGTTCTGCTATAAGTTTTGTTGCAATATTTCTCGTTCCCAGAAATTGCAAAGAAAATCAGTATTTTTTTTTTTTTTTTAAATGTTTTGTATAATAATTCCATATCTTGCGAAATAATCTTTTTGTTTATTGATCATCCTAAAACGCAAACTTGAATTAGAAATTTTCTTACCATCAGCTTTGGGTGCTTTCTCATCGAAAACACATTGTCCATATATACACCACTGAAAGAGAAAGGAACATATATTACGTTAATCACATGGAAGACTAACATTAAGCCTTTGACCCCGAGCGGCTGGTATACCAACCGCTCAGGTTCAAAGTGCATATACCGTACTCATTAGGGAGAAAGGGTTTAAAGGGTTAAGAATGATTCACATTTTTTTTTTATCAATTCTTTTTTTTAATCAGAGACTGCTGACCAGGCTTATGAACACTCGAAAAATAAGAAAATATGGGAAAAGAATACAAGAAAACATGACTGAATAATTAATGTATTTCAAATGGAAGTGGAATGTCGAGGTTTTATCGACAACTCGATTTTGGCACTGCTGCCTAAACTAGGAATGTCTCCAGAAAAGAGGAAATATATTAAGAGTCTCCAATATCAAGTATTCCGATGCTGTAACAGAAAAAAAACCAACAAATCTTGTGATATCGTGTGGTATTTTTGTGGTGACCTGATATAGTGGTAATGATGATTAAGCCCTGTAATCAAGCTTAACATTAATATTTAATCTGATAAAGCTTTTGTTAGAATGACTGCTACCAATTTTACACCAGCAGTTGTATAAAGTAACTGTTCACGTAATCTCGTGATTAAGAGTTATAAAAGATTCGTTAAAACTTTTATTCTATTCTTTACATATATAATGACACAACATATTCTAGTAGTAGTGGGAAACAAAATATATAGTTGTATCTTATTACTAACTGCATTTATACCCAAAATACATATGTAAAGTTTCGGTCTTTCTCATCGTGTCTATCTTCCACAAACTAAACAAAGTATGAAAAAGAAGGAAAATTCCGTTAGAAAATATAAAAGGATGAGTTTCCTTGCCGGATGTATTTAACCTATACAGAGAGGTGATCTTAAGAAAAGAGAACTAGAAAACCTACCAATGGGGAAACAGTGTTGGTGGCAGACAGAAAGAAAAGGTAGTAAAGGAAAGCGGGAAGAAAGGACTAACTATCAATTGTAAGAAGTCAGCTTATTTGGTCATCAGCAAAAGGAACAACCCAAGATGCAAGCTACAAATTGGTGATGTCAAAATCAAGCCAGGTTGTTAGGTACCTATTCTTTGGTAATGGACTCTCCCATAGATAATAAGTAGGAGTAGTAGTGAAGAACGGTGTTAAGCGGTCTCTGACTGCGCACACCTTCTGTCGAACTCTCTGCATTAGCAGAGAGGAACCCGGACGAGGCTTTGCCGAAGGGCAAGGTTTCGTCCGGGGAGGTAGACAGGGCCTGAACCCGTCTAATCGGCTTCAAAGGCTATTTTTTTGGCCGAGCTCGGAGAAACCCACATATAAAACCGGCCTTGTGCCATATTCGTTTCTCGTGCGTGAAATGATAAATACCGAACGGTGTTGAGAACGTCAGTCGAGCTTCGGACATTTGAAGTACCAACCATCACAACTAGATTTGCTGCGTCATTGACTATTATTTCCCAAGTTCCTAACGTCTTGTACGACTTATTAGAAATACAAGCCTCCACTGTGAAAATACTCCACAACACAGGTACAGAAATTTAAATACCTGGGAAGTATTTTAACAAACAACGGAAAATGTAACACCGAAATCCAAAATCGCATTGAAATAGTGAAGTCTTACAAAAGCTAAACGATGCGTCAAGCAACAGAAAATGACATTAAAAAGAAAAGATTGCTGAACACCTATGTGATATCAATCCTCATCTATAGCAGTGAATGCTGGGCGATTTCTTCACTGATGAAGAGGAGGCTTGAGATAATAGAGATATCGTTCTACAAAAGGTTGCTGAGAATATCATAAACTGGCATATGAGACACGAGGAAGTTTTAATGAAAGTGGGAACGAAAAGGACATTTGTATTTGGAATTAGAAAGAGACAGTTGAAAATTTTTATGCATAATGAAGAAGGTGGGGTGCTGGAAAATTTAACATATTGAAAGTAAGAGAGACAGAAGGAAAATGCCATTATCCTATTTAACGAGCTTATGTAAATGGATGGCAAAACATGGACTGGAAGGGATAGCGATAGAACAAACATTGTTTACAGCTACGAAAGATAAGAAGTTATGGAGAGCCATAAGCCGTCCATGTCCTAAAGAAGGAGGAGGATTGCACTGAAATTACCGATACTCTATTATTCTTTGGATTTATTTTACATCAATCGCTGTGCTAGAACGAAATCACGCCAGATAATGCGCTCTCTTCCAGAAACTATAACTAAGGTCCGCTCAGTATAGTTGTAGTATAAACCACATGTAGGCTCTGTGGATGTTGAACAAACACAAATGTGTCTGAGCAAGCGTCTGTAACAGGGATTGACTAGCCGCCCTAGTAGACATACTCGGCCAGCGACTATACACACTCATTAGTCACTGTATTAGGTATACTCTTCTAAAACAGGTTTGGATCCTCCTTTTGACTTTAGAACAGCTTTAATTCTTCTTGGCATGGATTCGACAATGTACTTAAACGACTATTTCGAATGTTAGGTCCATGTTATTAATCATAGCACCCAGCAATTCTTCTCGATTGATTGATTGGATATCCAGGATTCGAATCTCCCTTTTCCATCATATCCCATCATATCTTTATGGGATTGGAATCAAGTGACTGTAAAAATTCACAAGAGAAAACTCATTACGCGTTGTCCTCCTGGAATTGGTCACCAGAGGACGTGCACGTCTTAGCCATACACTGAGGCACGTAGTCAGCCACAATATTTCGGTAAATTGCGGTATTTGAAAGATCTTTTACTGATACCAAGGGTCCTCTAGTGTATGCCAAGAAAATATTCCCCATACTATTACCCCACCACCACCACTAGCATGAATCGTTGATACAAGGCAGAATAGATCCGTACGTTCTTGTTTACGCTAAATTCTGGCCCTACCATCGCAATCTCACAATAAAAATCGAGACTCATCATATCATTTTCAAATCCAATTTTTGCGATCCTTAGTGAATTATAACCTGTTTTTTGTTCTTATCTAACGTGAATGGCACTTGGCGTGGTGATCTGAAGCTGTAGCCCATCTGCTTCAAGGTTGGACGTTTTGTGTATTCAGAGATGCTCTTCTCTATATCCCCGTTATAAAGAGTGGTTATTTCAGCTACTGTTGCCTATTAGCCATTCCCATCCGACCTCTTTCATCAACAAAAGGTTTTTGTTCATAGAATTGGTGCCTAGTAGATTTATTTTCTTTTTCTAGCCCTTCTCCGTAAACCAGAGGTTATGCATGAACATTCTAATAGATCAGCTGTTTTTTAAAATATTCCGACCCATTCCTATGGCCTCAATGAAAGAGAATTAAAGCACCTTTCTTTTCCATATGAGTGAAATTCATCAAGTCGTCATGATTTAAATGACTACATTAATTAAATTGCTGATACATCATTAGCAGATTATAAATTTACATAAAAGAACATATGTTAACGTGTAACTAAGTAGCCAGTGAGTATATATTGAAATTAAAAATATATTTATATATATTTAGACAACAAATTCTCAACATTAAAAATGTGGTTGCAAGGCACGGACAAAAATTTTATTCATTTATTTTTTATGGCCCAGTGAATAAAGGTGTTGGTTAGATCCAGTGACTAGACACAAAGAGTTGTGAGTTCAATACCTGGATATAGAAGTAGTGAATCAAAAAACTTGGAGAGTCGAGTTAAAGGGAAACAACTGAGACATCCGGAAGAGGCATAGCACGTGGAACTAGAACAAACTAGACGAAATAGAGGGTTCGATTTTAAATTCCAATCACCTGAAGAAGGCCGGACCGTACAACGACCGAAAACGTTGTGAATATGCCAATAAAGATGAGGATAACAGTCCGATTAATGTAAATAATATGAATATGTTTTATGTTTAAAAACTTTCTCTCACAATGTTTCTTATTTTACATTTAATAGGAATTAGGTCGATAGCGAATATAGGAATTATCCATAATTACTGTTTGCTTTCTACTGGCTGTCCAGCCTTATTCAAGAACCAGAATTTATGCCAATGTTTGGGTTCACTGATGTTATATTTTTACATTTTCCTGTTTGTCATTGTCGTTACTTGAAGAGTGATCTTTTACAACAGTTAACGGCGGCTTTCAGCTTAATAAACGAAATAAAAATTTAACAAAAGCAGGTTGAAACATCGGTTCTTGTATGATCATCGAAGTTAAACAAGGTCGAGCTTGTTCAGTACCTAGATGGGTGACAGCTTGGGAATGCCATGTGTTTAAGCTTGGATGTGCAGGTGGTGCAATGGACAAAGGCACGGAATTGTAGATCGGAAAGCTGAGTTTCAATTCCAGTCAGGTTCGTTACATTCACTAAAGCGCAAGTGCCCTTGGAAAAGGTATGAATCCACCTTTTTCTCCCCAGCTATGGGTTAATTAGTAGGACTTTTATCAGTAAATTATTATTTTCTCTAAAATATTCTTACAACCTATACAATAGATCACCTGTAAACTATATATCTATAAAACATGCGTTTATCCTGAAAGTATAAAACTATGTATAAAATACCTCTATTTGAAGCCATAAAATTGATTAGAAAATATCTGTCGTTGAAGGCATAAGATTGCGTGCAAAATATTTAGATTTCGGCATTAAATATCCCAGAAAGGTTGATATGCCGCTAAACAAAAATAAACTAAATCCATTTTACAATCTAAAAAAATATGGATTTAAATATCCTCTAAAAGTTTGATAAAATTAAATTAGTATAACTCTTAGAATAATATGCAATACATCTCATCTATATCAACATAGAAAAAATGAAATGATAAATCCACTTGTCTTAGAGATATCATGAAAAACCAAGTATGGCACTTAAATGGTCTCCTACATCATGAGAGCAACCAACCAGTCACATAATACAAAATTGTCTCGCACAAGATATCTTCATTGCGTATGAGATACTATGAAGGATCTTGTATAGCACCTCGCTGATCGCCATCATAGGACAATTATTATTAACGTTGAATATTATTTATTTTTCTTGTATGTAATTTTTTAGTTATATTTTTCATCGCAATTTTACCCACGCCGTCTATATACGGCAGTGAATAAACAGCAGAAGATCGGAAATAAAGGATAAACGCTCCGTTATATTTGAACTATAATGCCTTTTGCTTTAGGAAAGTCAGATAAACGTCCAGCTGCTTTAACTGTTAAGCTACGAAACATTGACAGCTTTGTAGAACACCGAATCTAACCTATAAATCATCTCTCATTCCATGATTGGGATCAGCGCCATATTTGTTTTTGGTTTTACACTTGGAGTATTAGTAGCAACAGTATGATTTTTATCGATTGTTTTATCTGTTTTTTTTTTTAAAATCTTTATTAGAAATATTGTCAACTATTATTATTAATTATCAATTAATAATTAATAAAAATAATACTGCTACTACTGATTAAAAAACAAACCAAGCAATCCAGTCATATATAACAGACAGATAATTACTATCTCATGTTGTTTAACCTTTGAACCCAATCGTTATTGTATATTTTAAAAATTTTGAATTTGTCATATACCATAACTATAACAAAGAACTATTCATTGATTAATTATTTAAAGAACGACATGGTAAAATAACCCCCAAAGATGCCACAAAGGACAAATATTTTACTTCAACGATCTCTTACAACATTCTTTTTTTTCTTTTTATATGCCGTGTCCTTTCAGGACGTAGGCGATCATAGCTCTCCACTTCCTCCTATTTCTTGTAGCTCTTAATAAGTTTCGTCCCTCTGTCACCTCCCCAGACCACGTTCTGTCATTCACTTGCTCAAGCCCGCCAGGTATGTCATGCGGCGTTGTTTCCCTAGTCTTTCTTTCCCTCTATTCGACCTGTGAGTATCAAATTCTCCAGGCCCTCCTTTCTCAAAATAGAGTATTAGTGAGCGAGCTAGACTAGTTGATCATTAAAACTGACAAGACATTCCTCGTTTACCCGGTTATTTTCCCATCCCCTTTAGGTTTCTTTCTTTCCTGAGAAGGCGAATGAAACCAGTAAGTTATCCTCGTTTGATTTTAATGGAACTAGAGATTATAAGAAAATCATAAATTAACTGTATTTAAAAGCTAATTTTCTATCATTCTAAGATTTGTTTAGACAATGAATTGATTGATTATAGTTTATAGCTTATCAACCCTTTGTGGGTTATCTAAAGAATGAAACGTATTTCTTTGGATTGTAAGAATAATTCAATTTTTTGACAACAACAGATACAAGTCCTATTTTTAACCTATAGCTAGGAGAGAAGCGATGGATTCATATATTTCCCAAGTGTAGCTGCGCGTAAGTAAATGTAACGAACTCGACTGTAATTCGAACTCGGTTCTCTGATTTCTCAGGCAATAGAACTCGCGCTTTTTATGGTAATAATAAAAAGCAACAAAATGAATGAGTCAAGCAATCAGAAGAACAATTGTAATTTAATAAATTTATTTGAATATACCTACCTTTTGATTTCCACAAGTTGTCTTATAGGCAGGAATAACTGACTTGCAAAGATTTTTGTCTTTACGGCATGGCAGTGAGAGACAAATATCAGAATTACTTCGAGTGTAAATCGACTGCAAGAAAAGAAAAAATGTTTGCAATAAACAAAGCAAAAGAAAAGAATACAACAATAAAATTAAGTAAGCAATATATGCAAAACAAAAGTAGGCAAAAAGTTCTGAAACTAAGAATCTTTTTAACACACAAAAGGTATACAGACAAGTGATCTGACTCCAAGACAAGAAAGAACAGAATTAAGTTTGCTTGAGACCGAGAAGTCTTATTGGTTATGAAGAAAATCTCAGCATGCATCTGTATATTTCGTCTATAGGTTTTAGGAGGAGTGTATTTTTGCATTCATTCCTATCCAGGATTATTTTTGTGTAGGATCCGTGTGAATATAAGGTATTTTGGTAAATATCACATTGGATATAGAAGAGTGGGTTTTCTTGTAGTGAATGAGTAAATTGTAAGAATTAATGGGCCGTGAATCAGATTAGCTACGTGTAGGATAGTCAGTGACGACCAGTCAAGAAAAGTGTGATATCGTGTGGCTTTAGCGATAATGATGCTTCAGCCCCGAAACCATGCTTGAACTCATAGTCATCATGTGATGGAGGCTTTGTTTGAAACATTGATACAGTAGCTGCATTAAATAATTAATTTATTAATTATGTACTTACTGAACAAATACCTGAGGATCTTGGCGATGTTTAACATTGCTTTTGGTGAAAATAACTGACCAGTGGGTATGTTCGGCATTATTCCCTGAGACAGTTTACGTAAAAGACAGTTATTTCTGGAAAAAAAAGGATAAAAAATCAAAATGGTCAGTGAATTATCGAAAATTAATTCAAACTGATGATTAAATATTAGGCCAGTAACTGAACAAATAAATTGTTGATCTTTGATCATTGATCTCACACACACACACACACACACACACACACACACACACACACACACACACACACACATATATATATATATATATATATATATTGTTCATTTACATGTTGTACAAAACAATAGCAGAAGTAAAGATGATGAAGTAGAGAAGTTTCGGCTTGTAACAGTAGGCGTAATGGTTCAGGAAGTTCTATACAAGTGAATTTGCTTTCGAGGACAAATCAAGTAGAGGCAGACCACGTTTTTAAAAATTATGAAGATTTCATTTCATTTTTTTCAATGATGACTTTTTTTTTAACCAACGTCTGAATTATTAAAAGACTGTGTCAATCACTTAGCAGTTGTAACACGTTTCCAAACTATAGAGAACATTCTACAAGCGGGGAATTTGATTCCACGTGAATTTTTGTAATTAAGCATTGTACAGTGTCTTGCTATACAGGAAATCTTTTTTCTGGATGGCTGTTACTAGAGAAGAAAAGTGATCTCGCTACAATAATCCGAAGTGTTGAAAATTATGGACAGATCAAAAACAGCCTGTAGCATTAGCTGCAAAACCTAACCTTTACGAGAAAAAGTTATTGCTTTGTGGAATATGAAAGTCCTAAGGAATTAGAAACTGCAGAAGCCGCTGAAATTCTTAATGGCAAAATGTTACTGTCATCACCTTTGAAGTTTGAGCACTGAAGAAAAAAATAACATCATTTCGAAGACAGGGAAGCTGGAAAATCATACTACTGTATGGCGTTCCCACATGTTGCTTTGTTGATTTGTCATATAAGAATAAAATGAGTAACTACCGATACCGAGGTTAGAGTGTGACAATCTGTACTTATGAATGTTTTTCGCCAGGTGTATAAATAGCGGTGTCAGGCTATTGACTGCAGTGATTATTGAGTGACTATTGAGCGGAACTATCCAGTCGAATTAGTGTGAATTATTGTGCGTCGATGATTTGGGTTTTGATTTGGGATTTACCGGACGTTAAACCGAGCTGCACTACTAACAAAGTATTCAGTGAAATGGTTAATTATCTTTGGTTGACTTTTACTTCTTTATTCTTGTTAAGTATTTATTTGCGGTTGTAATTAAATACTGTTTTATCTTAACATTGAAATCTTGAGTTATACTTAATTATTAACGGCCACCGTGCCTCACAAAATGATCAAAAAATCGGATTTTACATAGTAAATTCTTCCTCACGTAGCATATTCATCAGCCATTGTATTATCATATGTTTCGATCAATGCAGCATCGGTTATCCCGTCAAAAACTTAAAGATGTCTTCGTGGTTCAAAATTTTATTGATAACTTTACTGCGTCGAAACCAAATTTTGAATTAATCTGTTGCATTCATTTTCGCACAAATACCCTTGGGAAAGGCGTGAATGCGTTTCTTCTCCACCACACCCAGCTATGGGGTAAATAGTAAAGTAAACTGTCCTCTGTAAACATGACTGCCGATCACTCGCAAAGGAAAACTCTTAATGTCAAACTGGGAAGAAAACAATAGGAAATCACTATAAGGTATACTTAAACTTAGGCATTCACTAAAATAACATATAGAGTAATAAGAAATAATATCGATTGAAAATAAAATCCGTTAATTGCTTAATTATTTCCCAATAATGCATTGAAATTCACAAATATTAATGGATAATATAAAGAGCCATGATCACCTGTCAAGAAGGAACATAGTATAAGAATCAGCAATAACGTAAATTCTTGCTACTTTGTTAACATAAAATATAACGTAGTAATCATAACATTTACAGCTCAATACACAAGCAACAATAAAAAGTAAGTATCTCCACTATTTCGGCATAAATTTTCTATATTTAAGTTTAAAATGAATTTTTTACAACGAAAAAACATTCTTGAAGATTTTATTTTAGCTTTAAAAAAAAGTTTAATCATTAAATTTATGATTTCCATTAATTAAACAATTCTGGTGTATTTCAGATAGAAACTATATACATTTGATTGTCAAATTTAAATTCAAATTTTTTAATTTTCTTAAAATCGGCCATTTTCTTAATTTTAAGAAATTTGTAAACAAACACAAATTTATCGATTTTGAAAATATTTAAAAAAATTTCTGACACGTTATTTTAGTAAAATTAAAAAATTTAAAGTTAAAGTAATCTGATTTGAAAGAAATCTTTCTTACTTATAGCATAAAAAATAATATACAACCAATTATTAACGAGCGGTCCTGTTCATCTGATCGAACTATTGATGGATTGTTGAATGACGAACCGATGACAGCTACTACTGATGACCATAAATGACATAATTTTTAAGTCTGAGTTTTTAAAAAAATTATTCTATTTGAGTATGACACACACTAATGGAAATACAATACATAAATTAAAATTATTTAGTGAAATAGTAAATGAAAAAAAAAAAAATTACTTTAAAATTTAAAGTTTACACTTTTAAAGCTGAACGGAAAATACAACCTGTAAGAAACGAAATGTTATGAAAAGGCCACGTAAAGGGACAAAACCCTTAGATCACGTGACCTTGTTATAATAATGGCAATTTCTGTATATCATACATGGAAATAAGGAATGTATTAAGTAAAAAAAATACATAAAAAATTATTTTTAAAAAAAAAGCTCAAACTAAATTTATTTTAAAACTCGTAAATTTTTTCAACTAAATACAGACATAATATTGAGGAAGCCCTCCACAGATTTTAAACTATTAAACTATTAAAATTATTATAATTAAAAAAAAAAAACGAAAAAATTCTTGTAAAAAATTAATTATTCATCAGAAAAAAAAATTATTTCTTCAGACAATAATGTCCTTAATATTACTTATTTACAAAAGCAATTAAAAGCTTTTCTAATTAAGTAATATCATAGTTTTATTGATTCATTATTTTCAATTCAGAGCAGATTTTCAGTTAAATAGCTCAAATTGAAAAAAAAAAAAGTAGGTTATTTACCATCTTCGAAGACTCCTACAAATTTACTTTTAAAAAAAAAAAAAAATTCAGGAACCAAAAAGGTTTTGGTCGAAATTTCATTAAATTAAGTAAATGGGGGTAACATATTTTAAAAAAAAAATATATTTTTACCAAAATTTTCTAAAAAAAAAATATTAAAAAAATAATTTCATTCATTTGTGAATAAGTCCTGAAAATTTCATTAAAATCGGACAATTATTTGATTTTTACAAGAATTTCCAAATCAATATGTTTTCAACGGAAAAAAATCAAAAAAAGATAAATATGTTATTTTCTGTGACGCCGCGATGACGTAAACAAAAGAAGAATTTAACCAAAATTTCGAACGTGTTAGAAAAGGGTTAAAAAATTTCAAAAATAATTAAAAATACTTTGGTCTTTCATCTTAATAATAACATAAGCATTTTGACGATAAAACCTTATTTTAGTTAAGTTTGTGGCATTTTCATTACGCTATATGCTGTTTTCCCGCGAAAACAGTGAACATGCTTAATAAAAAGTGAGTTATGATTCTCTCTTTTTCTTTTATTTTATTGAATACGTCACAAAAATTAACATCAATTCTTGCATCTTTACAGACAGGACAAGTCAGACGCCTGAGCAGATAATTCATATAATTATTTCACTAAAACTTTCAGTTTCAAATTTAAATTGAAATTAAAATCAAAGAAAATGAAGAAAAAATCATCAACTTACGGATTCAAACTTAATATGTAAGATTTTATGGCTCTAATGCTGCATTCTGAGAATTTATAGCTGTTTAATGTTTGTTCGCTTGAAGGATTAATTATGGTTTTCGCTGTCATGATGTAACTTTTGGATTCAGAACAGGTGTTTTGTTCACCATCATGTAAACTGTTCAGGCTGAAACACCAGGACGAAAAAATAAGACAAAATAAAAAAGGAATTAGGTTTTCGGTGACAAAATATAAGGTAACATGATTTATAGATGAAAATAAATTGTATGCAACAGCATCACCTTGCGCGCCAACAGGCGGATATTGTAAAGGAATGAAGATTTTTCTGAAAGTTTCCCCTCAAAAATAGAAGTTGGACAGTTCAATTAGAAAAGCTCGAGAGTGTAATGACAAATTAATATGTCGACAACCAAGCTCGTACCCCAACTGAACAATCCGTCAAAAAAATTGTTTGAAGACGTGTGTTTTCCAACTTTGATGATTTTTGTCAAGATTTGAGGATTTATGTTTCAGATTTAACAAAAAAACAACAAAAAAAAAAAAAAACAAACAAACAAAACAAACAAACAAAAAAAAACATATAAATCAGAATAAATCTAAAAGAAAGAATAGACATCAAAGCAACACAGGGCAGGTATTTGTTCCATGATTAGCTATTTGCACTTTTCTAAAAAAAAAGAAAATGTTTCTTTTTATTGTAACATGCTTATACCCAGCGAACCTTAAAAGTTAAAAAGAGCGAAAATAAAGGATAAACTCTTCGGCTCATTGGCAGATACACAGATACATTAGGCAGTCAATATCAATTTCCATATCCATGTTTCTATTCTGTCAGTCAATACACCAATGAGAATTTTCAAAGTCTTGCAAGTTCAAATTTCAATGTGTCATAGTAAATTACTATCTTATCCCTTTTGCCTTATCCTTGGATCAAAAGGACTCCATGGATCAATGACTAAACCGTTCTTTTTCGGTTTTATATTCCACCAATATGTTCGATTTACCGTGTTCCAGTTTTTACCCGTTTGTATAGAGAAATACCACAAAATCTTGTATGTTTCTGACTCAAGGACTTTCTCAGATTAAAAATTACCGATATTCATTTATAACAAAGTTTTCTAATTGTTTTTGCATATTGCAGCATTATGCAATGGTGTAGAAATATTGTATGGATTTTAAGTTTTTTCGTAAGTTATAACTATGTTAATTAAAAAATTTATAGAGTACGAATATTTATTTCCCCCCACTATATATGGTTTTACTATTTCTTTTCTTGCTGAAAATCTCATTTTTCCGACAACTTCCAATGAAATAAATTATTATTATTATTATTTCGCTATGGTTGATATGTCACTATAGCTGACGGAAGAGAATGCAGATAGGGACAGGATTATTTCCTGTTTATTCCTCTATTTTTAATGAAAAAACAAAAAAACAAAACAAAAACAACAGAGAGACGAATTGTTAGCAGTCAATAGATAGTCCTGTTTTATCCAAATCATACTCAGAAACTGGTTCCTTATTTCCCAAGTTAAAGCACACTAATCCTATTGCACTCAGAAAAGTTGTCTACGATGTGCCGATTTGCTATGTTACGCTAGCAAACACACAAACTCACAGAAATCTGAACACTGAAATAAATAGGATGTGGAATTACCTGTGTCCAATTTCGTGGGCGACAACGTGTATTTCCTCGAAGCTTCTCAGAACTCGACACAAAGAAACACTCCCTTTTTTGCACATGGCACCGACATTCGCCAGACCTTAGTAGACAAAAGCATTAAAATATTAAGAAACAGAAAGTATTATGAGAACATTTCATTTGAATTATTGATATTATATATTCTTGTCAAAGATGATGCTCCTTTACTTTGTTTCTCCTGCCAGCAGTTATATTATTATACTGCTTTTCACTGCTTACACTTTTCTCATATTAATAAAAGTTCGTGTCATTTTATTATTTGTTGTTTTGTCAATAGGCAGGTTAAAGTAAACAGATTTATAAAATTGAGCGAATCCTGCCGTGATTCGAATGAGTGAACTAGACCTATGCGAGAAAATGGCGTGTCCGTTCTACTTTCTTTTTTTTAATACAGAAAGAAATAATAGATGTGTTAAACCTATTTAAAGCAATGAAAGGAAATGAAATTTGTCCGTTCACTGCAGCCGTTTTAAACTTTAAAATCCATCAACGATATGATTTTTTTTTTCTGATGTGGACCCAAAGTTGGGACAAGGGAAGGAAAACGCGGAACACGGATTAGAGGTAAGAAAGATATATTAAACAAAAGGTTACAAAGATAGTGCAAGTGTAAGCGGAGCTTACTATGTGCTAGTGTCCAATATTGGTAGTCGTACTAATTTACTTGCCTAATTTTATTTTTGGGTTTTCTCGTTCTGTTGGCGTACCAGCACGAAGTTAAAGTATGACCACTTTTATTGCAATTTTTGCAATATTTTTTGTTCTTAACTGGACAGAATTTCATCTAATGCCATTTACCACAATGGTAACATGGTCCGGGCGGTTTCTTTAACCTATTTGGGTTTTGGTTACTGCGGAATTTAGGACATGAGATTTGCCTTTTGTCTTTTTGAGGGAAATAGGAGCTAGACTTGCTTCTGATTTTATTAATCTGAGCCACACCCGATTCCTCGATAGTGTTTGAGTCACACTTTACAGATATTACTCTTTGACAGTCCTCTGCCAGTTTTTGGAGAGTCAATCCTTGTTCGTTCTCAAGCTTGGTTAGTACCCGTCGTCTGACTTCGGCGTCTTCTGCTGATACTAGACCTTGTGTGAAAATTAAGCATTTGAAATCATCGGCAGTCAGTTCGGCTAGTTTAAAGTCATTACAGAGCTTGTTTACCGATGTTGCAAACGTTAGAGAATCTTGCTGGTTGTCTTGGACTGTGTTCAGGCATTTGTGGAACAAGGTTGTGTTAGGCCCGAATAGTTCCGATAGGAGCTTAATAGTCTCTGAAAAATCCAAGTTAGTGGTTTTCTTGGGTAGTATGAAGTCTACGAACCTACTATGTTCTGTAGTTCGCAGTTTTCTCAATAGTAGACGTACCTTTTTATTTACTGGGCCATTGTTCACAGACTACGTTGAAAATATCTTCGTAGCGCCTGTAAAAAGCCTCGAACGTTTTGTCGTTCTCTGGTACGTATTCAAAGGTTTCCATTGAATTGTAGATTGTACTCTGGGAGAATATTGTATCTTCTTCAGAGTTTGAGCCTTTTAATGCATTTACGAGTAATTCTTTAAGTTGTTTCTGTTGTAGTTCAGCATTCTGAAGCGGAATTTGTTGGAATTCCATTTGTTGTTTATGTAATTCCAAAAATAGTTCTTATTGTCTTTCTTCTGATTTTTGTTGCTGATCCAAATTTACTTTTAGCATTTGGGAAATTACTTTTTGAAAATCTTCCATATTTAGACAAACAAAAATGACAGCGATTTTTTTGTTGCTTTGAAACCCGTGTACCAAGGGGAGGGACACAAAAAAATCTTGATAGGTTATTTTTTTTTTTTTTTTTTTCGTGTTTAACTTTTTTGTGATTCCGTGGTTCCGTTAATTTTAACGTAATCGTATAAATTTTCACCACACTTATGTATTTTTTTATTTTTTTTTTTTTATAGAGGTACCAAAAAGAGAAAACTCGCCTCAGGGAATTTGAGGGGAGAATAATTTTATGCACGAGTTCAACTCAGTTACATAAAAAATTTTTTTTTTTCTAAAACTTGAGTCGTAAATAGTACTTCGGCTCTTGTGTTGTCAGTTTGTTTTATGAACAAAACTGGTTTTTTTTTTCTGTGTGTGGGTGTGTAAGAAATCGTTCTCGTAATGTTATTTGGACAGACTTTAATATTCCGTAGATGTTGAAAATGTTCGTCATTGCTGTTTGGTATCGGTATATATTTTTTTTTTTTATATTTAGACGCTGGGTGTTGCGTTTTAATCGCTAATGTAGTAATACCAGCTTAATTTCTCGTTCAACACTACTGTGGGAACGCGTAGAGTTTCTGTGTATTTTTCGAGTACTCTGTCGCTATTTATATGGTGAGAACGAAATTCTTGAATCTTTCTATTGCCACTGATGTGGGATTGGCAAGGTATTGCGGTTTTCGACGTGAATGCGTTTCTCGAATTCTTCGTTGACACAGATGTGGGACTGGTAAGGTATTGAGGTTTCCGCGTGAGTGAGTTTCTCGAATCCTCCGTCGTCACTGATGTGGACCCAAAGTTGGGAACACGGATTAGAGGTAAGAAAGATATATTAAACAAAAGGTTACAAAGATAGTGTAAGTGTAAGCGGAGCTTACTATGTGCTGGTGCCCAATATTGGTAGTCGTACGCGGCTGATACTACGGTATACTACCACTCTCTAGAACTCTTCTCTCTCTCTCTCTCTCTCTGAGTGTTATGTCGCATACTTTATATAGTCCTGGAAGAGTCCATGTTGTAGGTATGTTACGGTCTCACGATATTTTCAATATATTATTGGGTTATTAATTTTAAAGAATTGATGTGAAATTCAGCAACCTTTTTTAACATATGGTGAAATGATATTAAGTTGACGACAGAAGAAAAGACCAACTTAACGGGAAGGATATTATTGACATAATTGTATACAAACAGATAATTTTAAACATTATTTTTATCAACTCATTTTCATCTTATTCTAAGCAATATAAACTTTCCTTTCCTAATTAGAATCTACAATTTCTAATAACAATAAAATAGATTTGTTTTGTTTTTTTCTCGTGGCCTGTAGTTTGTCATAGAAGACTGTATATATCTCTGAGCAAAACATAAATCGAAATAATGACTTAAAATTACAGATGGAAGATTACGAAGGCCAGGAAAAATTCGTAGAATCACTCATCTTAAAAAATGTTTCCTGAAAATGTTATTATACTATATATCATGTTTTTCTAATATGCGAATAAATTTTCACAAATTTGGCTGTTTTAGACGTAAAAAATAACCAACTTTTATATTAGCATTAATAAAATATGAGAAATTAATACAGATTTAAGACAAATCAGATAAGCAAGTGCACATTTTTCACAATCATTTCGAAATATCCTATGGTTATATATATATAAATGATGTTGCTTCTAAGTGCATGCATAGTATTTTATTTGATAGTTTGCGAGTATGAAAACATGATAGTTGAAAAAAAAATTACGTGACACCAACCGACATATGAAAACACGATACTCAAAACTAGCAAAGACAAACACCACCCTATCAATCCAAAATTAAAACTATTCTATTATGGTTTATGAAAGCCGAAAGCGCTTAGATGTTATGGAAAAATCTTCGTTAAATTTTGCCCGGAAAGCAAAAGAATAATCAGAACCATAGAAAAATTAAATAACAGAAATTTAATCAAATTTTGTTGGTCTTTAGCCAAATCTACAGGTATATATAAAGTGGGAAAGAAAGTTCTATTCGACTTTGAGGCGAAAATGTTGAACAGAATTTATTAAAGTATTGCCTCTTTATGTTTTTTAGTAATGCTATTATGAGTAATTTATATCTTTTTGTTTTAGATTATAAAAATATTATATCTTTTTGTTTTAGATTATAAAAATATTATTATTATATTATAATATAGTTCGTACCTTGCCCCTATGTCCGTCATCTTTAATGAACACAATGGAAATGTAGTACCCTATGAATTTCATAAAGGTGTCAGCGCAAGTGTGGCAGTAAAATCCACCCAAATGAGGCCGAGGCATTAAGTAAAAAACTTGCAGGAAGTTTTTTTTTCCCAAACTGGAAACTTTAGCCTAGAAGATGACCTAAGGGAGGGTCGTCCAAAAGACTCAATTTGGAAATGCTGTTACAGCAAATCCTGCCACTACGACTAAGGAATTCAGTCAGAAATTTAATGTTAGTCATACGAAAGTCTTACGCGAATTCAAAATAATTGGAAAGACTTCAGTAGTTGGAAAATAGACCGTGTACCATCCGTCTCTATGGAATCTTCAGCAACGTGCCGATCGTTACGATTCATTGCTTACACGACAACTTCAAGTGTCCTTTTTGGGCAGGACTGTTGCTGGTGATGAGAAATACATCCTTTACCATTAACGTTAAGCACCATCGTCAGTGGATTAGTTGAGACATGCTCAGCAACTGAGAGGAGAACTACATACAAAAATCATGCTGAGTGTATGGTGAGATATTCAAGAAATCAACCATTATGAAATTTTACACAATAATCAAAGAATAAACGCTGATATATATTGCCAATAACTTAGTCGTTTGAAAGCAGCTTTGGACAGAAATCGCCCGTCCTTAATTGGCAGAAAGGAAATGATCCTCCATCACGATAATGTCTGTCATTGCACTGCACGTTTGACAAAAGATCTCTTAAACGAGCTCAGTTGTGAAAAATTGCTTGATCCTCTACATTTTCCAGATCTTGCAGCTTCTGATTATCACTTGTTTCGGTGATTTACAGGACCCTATGTATGGCCTAATGGTGACATCAAGAGATGATGTTGAACAGGGGTTGGTTTCGTATTTTTGTCAAAATCTAAAGAATTTTACAAACGTGGCATCTATAAACGTGTTGATAGATGGAATGAGGTTATAGGAAGCAATGGAAGTTATATTGATGACATTGTTCGTAATTTTTCATTTATTAATCGAATTACGAAGCTTTGAGTCGGCCTTCAATAAGTATTGAACGTTATTACATCTAATATAATAATAATTATCGCTCTAGTCCCACGAATTCTATTAAATTTGCTACATGTTAAATTATATACGTATATTAATTGCTTAATTGCCCGTATTAATAGCTAGCATTATATATATATATATATATATATATATATATATATATATATATATATTTACTAGCAGTAGAGCCCGGAGTTGCCCGGGGATTCAAAACAGTAAGAGATAGATCAAGTATCGACCACCATAAAGACTGAAAAATAAAACTGACAAAGATTATTGTTTAAGGTTGACGGACACGCATGTCTTAATTAGTTTTTTTTTTTTTTTTTTTTTTTACGAATTGGTCAAACCCAAACTCAAACAAAAACATTGTTTTCAATCGTTATGAGTCTACCGATTGAATAGAATTTTATTATAAACAATTGTCTTGTAAATGGAATTTTTAAAGCATTCTGAATGTAAAAATAAAGAAAACAGTGTGCAAGACAATAAGAAACACTACCTGCAAAAAAAAAAAGTGAAGTTTTGTTGAAATCGGTTGAAAAATGTAGGAAATCCGATCCCATATATAAACGAACACACACACACACACACACACACACACACACACACACACACACACACACACAAACAACCTGGGTTTTATAAGTATAACTCGATATGAGTTGTCCCCCTTTCATTATCGCGATGCCTCTTAATCGTGTTTTCAAATTGATTTCGTGCAAAAACAATTGTGTTTTTCCAATTTTGGGGCTGTCAGAACCACCACAAGGTAATTTTACGTAGTCCTGTGAAGTTTTGTTGAAATCGGTTGAAAAATGTAGGAAATCCGATCCAATATATAAACGTACAGACACACACACAACCTGGGTTTTTAATAAGTATGGTATATATATATATATATATATATATATATATATATATATATATATATATATATATATATATATACAGTTCTATGCATATGAGTTTATCAAGAAACTCATATCCATACAACTGAATATGTTAGAATAAAATATATATAAGATATCTACTCTGGCGCGCAATTGAAATTTTAATAAGGAAAAATTACTCATGAAATTTGAGAATATAAAATTTTAGCTTAACATTCCCGTAGATTAGCGGTACATTTTTTATTTAAAGAGATTTATGAAAAATCTATTCTTTAAGAGAAACTGATACTGACTTATTTAAATCCCCCGAGAAAAGCAAAAGAAAAAGTATTATCCATTTCTTAAAGATTAGAGAATTTAGCATGCAGTTTAAAATATCAAATGCCAAAGACTTGACTTAGATATAGAAGGGGTGCATCTCGCTTTTTAAAAATGAACAGTTTTTAAATATAAAATCATTGTCTCGATAGCTGTAATCGGAAGCCAGGTAGTATTCTACGAAATGGTTTTTAAAACAATCATGCCGACTGGTATATATATATATATATATATATATATATATATATATATATATATATATAATTTGTGTATTTAGGCAGTAATCCTTCTTTCATGCACATTTCATTGAATACGACAGACAAGGTGCTTTTTATTTAGTTTTTTATACAATTTCTCATGCAATCTAATAATTTTTGTTCTTTTCAGATGACAAATTATATAAAATATAATATATGAACACAATATCTTGACCATATTTTGAAAAATGAAAACATTTTATAAAATATACATGCAACAAACTATTTCTTATTTAACAGTTAAAATATTTAAGCCTTGAAAATGGCTAAATGTATAGCCGAAAGTGCTCGGATAGAAAGAACATTCGGACAGTTTTTATATAATTTATCATCTGATAAATTTGTCCGGATTATGTTTACCCTAATAAATTTCCTATGTAGATGAATTAACGAAATATTTAGTTATTCTACTCATGCGCTAATGAAAGTAAATTAATAAATGCCATATAAACATGTCATATAGTATTTCATTTGAAGTAATTTTATAAAAACACTTACCCACAGTTGAAGGATTATCTGATATATTGTGTCTGTAAAGAAATGTAAGCAAATTCTATTGAAAACTTACAAAATAAATGAATTCATCAGGTACATGGATTTAAAATATATTTATAAACAAAACAAAATAGCTTAAAAAAAGAGAGAAATATACTGATGTGATTATCTGTCTGTGTGTGTGTGTGTGTGTGTGTGTGTGTGTGTGTGTGTGTGTGTGTGTGTGTCTGTGATTTATTAGCCACGTAAGACAAAAAATTCTATTCACCACGTAATATGTGGTATGGCTGGGGATTAATTAAGTCTTGTTATCAGGGCATTGAAAAGAGGGAGAAAAAAAGAAGAAAGTAGAGTTCAAGCCCTTTTCATTTATACTACTTTATAAAAACGCCACTAGCGGTGGTTAAGAGAAGTTCCCTGGTAGACAAGATGGAAGAAAGAGCAAAATAGCATTCAGAATTTTATACCACAAATATAAGTTCCTGGTAACCAGTAACGTTTGCATTAATCCCTGTGCACTCACAATCCATTTTTTTCTGATCATTTGCAATGCACAACAGTCAAATTCGGTGATGAAATTTATTCAAACACTTTATGTAAAAAGAAAAATATAAACATCAATGCTTCATCATGAAATATTTTCCCAACATATTAAGTTTATTCCTGCAGAAAATGATTTTTTTGTAATACTTCAGTCTATCGCGTGGTATGACGTCATAGAACCGCATCTTAAACTTATGATTTGCGTCCGCTATTTCGCGACCGTTATCGTCGAATGGCAATTTTCTTCGTCAAAATAACAAAATATCATCTTTGAGGGTGGATATCTTTGCTTCATGTCTGTATAACCACCCTGATGATGGTTCATGTGAGCAGAAAACTTAGGACCAAATAATAAAAATATTATCCAAATGTTGGAAATTTTTGTCTTTATTTTCACCAGAAATTTTATATATATATATATATATATATATATATATTTATTTAGATATTAAAACATGTATTCTTTTACACAATTATAATTATGTTTTGACACCATAAATGTCTCTCTTCAGGCGATGTTAAACTATTAGTGATGTTAAACTACTGGCGAGTAGTTTAACATCGCCTGAAAAGAAACATTTATGGTGTCGAAACATAATTGTAATTGTTTAGCGATTTTTAACATGTTTTAATATCCTAAAATAAATAATATTTAGCTCTACTATGTATTCAGCATTTTTTTAAATTAAATGTTACGTACAGTGGAATCATACTCCATTTGTCCTCATTTTACCTGGATATAAATATATATACATATATACATATATATATATATATATATATGAACACAAAAAATAACAAATCTGTTCACAGGCCGGAAAATACTGTATTAAAAAAACGGAAGTATATCAAAAGTTCTCAATGCAGATACTTTGATGCAGACACCTTGAAAAAAGAACATGCAGGGGGAGTAAATATAATAAAGGAGCAAAAATACTTTATGTAACCGCACACTATCTTGGTTTCGACCCTCAGGTTTCTTTAGGTGACGAGCAATAAGTGTTCGTAATACCTTACTACAATTATATAACTATGGCACTGGAAATTTTCCAGAGCAGCAGGTCACTGGCGGTTCTTGATGTGCTCGCCAGCAGCGTCCTGCAAAGCGTATTCTGCGTTCGCGTAAGATTGTAGAATTATTAGGAATGGGTCCATAGAGCTGTGACTTAGTTGGATATTGTCTCCAAAAATGTTAAGTATAACTTTCAGCATCCGAGTGTAGCTTCCATCAAGCTTAGACTCTAGGGTTTTAATTAATGTCCAAGCAGTGGCATCCTACATTAACACAGCCTCTACAGTGGTTCAAAAGAATCTCTGCTTGAGGTTGTCTGGTAGATCAAATTTCCAGATTACATTCTATTTTATTCAAGACAGCCAGGCTTTAGCTTTGGGAATTTTCACATGCTTTTCAGGAGAATTTATTTTGCTTTCTAGAATGTAAAATATTCGACAGATTTTATTGATTCAACTGAAACATTTTGTATTGAACCTTGCTGGGTGAAGCCTATGAATTCAGGTTTAAAGGCAGTAGAATTGTGGCATTGGTAATGGTTGCTGCTGTGTGTTGTAGAGTAGTTTCACAGTGGAGGCTTGTATTTCACTAAGTCGGTCCTAAAATAGGTTCGACGTACAAAACGAAACCAAGATAGTGTGCGGTTACATAAAGTATTTTTGCTCCTTTATTATATTTACTCCCCCTGCATGTTCTTTTTCAAGGTGTCTGCATCAAAGTATCTGCATTGAGAACTTTTTGATATACTTCCGTTTTTTGGTACGGTATTTTTCCGGCCTGTGAACAGATTTGTTATTTTTTTGTGTTCATATATATATATATATATATATATATATATATATATATATATATATATATATGTATGTATGTATATATATTTATATCCAGGTAAAATGAGGACAAATGGAGTATGATTCCACTGTACGTAACATTTAATTTAAAAGAGTGCTGAATACATAGTAGAGCTAAATATTATTTATTTTATGGATATTAAAACATGTTAAAATCGTTAAAACAATTATTATATGTTTCGACACCATAAATGTTTTTCAGGCGATGTTAAACTACTCGCCAGTAGTTTAACATCACTAATAGTTTAACATCGCCTGAAGAGAGACATTTATGGTGTCGAAACATAATTGTAATTGTGTAGCAATTTTTAACATGTTTTAATATCCTAAAATAAATTATATATATATATATATATATATATATATATATATATATATATATATATATATCAAGAACGGGCTTTTTGGTAGGTACTGCCTACCCTGAATAAAATGGATCACCCGCAACATTTTCTTTCTGTGGTACAATATGCGCTCCATCCAACAAAATTATGAAGCTTACTGATTATTATACATAAAATGCAAAATGTTTTATTTTTTGTAGATTTACATACGAAATGAGTAATTACTGATGGCACGTGTCTGATTATATATATATATATATATATATATATATATATATATATATATATAATCAGCTTACCCTGAAGATCCGTTTAGGCGAAACCTAGGTAGGTTGTTCCTGGCTCTTTAGGATTTATTTCATTTTTTATTATATATATATATATATATATATATATATATATATATATAACCTAGCTTGACGATCCCTGACCAAAAGCTCGAAACTTAAGTTGCTATGTTATTTTTAAGTTTATTTATTTAAGCTCTACGCAGTATTAGGCACTTTTACTGATTTTATTTTTATATTAGCATTATTTAACTTTAAGTGTGAATTGTTAAACATAACCATATACTGTTTCCAAATAGTTCTGTCTATCTAGTTTCATTCAGAAGGCTTGGGTCAACTCTTGCTTTAAGACACTTCTCAATGGCGATGAACTCTGGATATTATCGTCTCTTAGACAAAATCGACCATGGTGATATTCGAACCATGATTGCATGGTCGGAACGCTAACTTTGTAACTACTCGACCATATATAAGTGCCCCGACCCTACATTACTCCATATCATAGTTTATTAGCTTTCAGTGAGGGTAAATTCTCCCTCGAGGGGAATTTCAAGTCTTCATATAGTAATTGGGAGTACATATTTCAGTTGTTAAAATATTGATATTTCTTCTTCTGTATGCCATGTTTCTTCAATGTGTCGGTGACCATGGTTCTCCACGAATTCCTATCCTTTGAAACACTTAAGTTTGTATTTTCACCACCCTAACCAGTCTATTATCTGCCAACCGTTTACACAAACTTGCTAGGTTGATTAGTCGCTGCTTTCTTCTGTTCCTCTCGCCTTCAATGTCCTGTGAATTTCAATTTTTCCAAGCCATTTTTCCTCACTATATGTCCTAGAAATTTCAACTTTCAATATAAGCGTCGTTTTTCTTTTCATTTTTCCTTGAAACATCCTCATTAATTACATGTCCGGTTCATAGTATTCTCAGCATTCTTCTGTAGAACCACATTTCTTTGCCTAAAGTCTCTTCATTATTTATGATATGGCCTAGCATTCACGGCTATATAGGAGGACCAATATCAAGCAACAGTTTAGTACTAGTTAACTATTCCAATATACCTTCGGATTTCGGTGTCACATAAATTACAATTCTACACAATGTATCTTTAATGCCAAATAATCTTAACGGAGGAAAATAACTACTGTCGTAACTTATATTTATTAAGATGTCACCCTAAACAACTGTGGAGATGTTCAATATTAAAAAAAATAAGTAAATATAATAACTTACATGGAAAACATAACAAGATGGTCGGCCTTGTTAACCATTTGTTGTTTAGCTAGTGCGTTCAGAGACAATGTTCCATTGAGATAGTCTTCCTTGGTTCCTTCTGGAAATTTGTAGAGAGTCGTATTAGTCTGAAAATAAATAATTTGGATAATGTTTTGAATATTATCAAATCCTATTTTCCTTGTTAAAATTTCTGACACAGTAACAATATTACTATCGTCAATGGTTGGCCTCATTTGTATTCGATTTGTAATCTTGCTTCACTTCTAAGTTGTCATAATAATATGCGGACATGAGCTGATCTCGCATTATCTCAGAAATTAATCTCGTATCTCAGCTGATATTCTCGATCAAATCTCGTATTACATTCGTTATACTAAATATCTTTTCAATTCTCCAATAGTTCCAGTTATTTAGTTCCAGTTATATATATATATATATATATATATATATATATGTGTGTGTGTGTGTGTGTGTGTGTCTAATTGCAGTTAGAGTAGCAGTCATAATCTTACTTCATCAGAATTAACAAATCGCACAGCCCTTCTATTTCTGAACCGAACTTTTCTAATTTAATCATTAAACAAAAGAAAGTGTTGGAAGATCAACCAACATGTACTGACGGTGAAACAGATTTTAACTGAATGTACTCACTTAGACATAAATACTACAAGGACACTAATATGAGAAAGCTATTTGAAAATACTAAAACCCTCAACATAATGTCCTACCTTAAAGAGATATGTTTATGCCAAAACAAAACCTACAATAGATCATCTGCAACCTATGTATCTATAAAACATACGTTTACCGTGAAAGTATAAAATTGTACAAAATATCGGTAGTTGAAGACATTGCGTTAAAAATGTATGTAGATTTTGGCATTAAATAACCTATAGATGTGTTGATATACCGCTAAACAAAAACAACCAAACCAAACCAAAAAGATAATCTTCATCGTTTCCAAGAGATTTAGGTTATATTTGCTGGACATTCACTATTTTACTTACGACAGTGGACTTTCATTGTTATAAATTGAACTTTGTTAAGCATTTCAGGGATTAATATTGTAGTTGATCAGGAAAAGAAAATGCAAAATTAAAAGTTGATGGTTGGTAAACCTATAAAACGCATATGGTTAAAAGTAACGATGCTATTTGTCGTCTCCTTTTTTTTCGCGAAAAGTTTTCATTGTCCATTACAAATATTACATAAATATATTTTAAAAATAACTTACAACCAGTTTATGAGCAAGTGGTGTCAAATAACGGATGAATGTGACAAATTAGCTCGGAAGGGAATTGCTAACTAGACATGACTGAGTAGGAACGGTGACCCACTTAGAATTGAGAAAATGCCTGGGATCAGATCATGTAATATAATAATATATTCACAAAGTAAAATCCGTCCAAGAAAATAGGAAAAGCTAAATTTTGCTGGATTTTGAAGCACCAAGGGATCGACCAATCCAGGTCAGGAAAGCAGATTTGGTTATCGTAAACAAAGAAAAGAAGAACTGACAGATAGTGAATGTCTCAGTTCAGGTTGATCACAAAATGGAATTCATAGAGCATCAAAGATATTTGGATCTTGCTTAGAGAAGTGGTAGGGCATGAAAGTGATATTTATAAATGTAATTAGTGGAACACTGGGAATAATCCAGAAGAGCTCAGTAAAAAAAGACTGGAAGAGAACTGGAACCCCAATGAAGAACTGAGAGCATCTTGATAACAGAATTACTAAAATAAGAAAGGATATTACATAGTGCAAGAATATTGAGGAGATAAGCTGTCATTTGATTTTTTTGTACTAATTAGCAGATACGACGGGTATGAAAAATCAATGAGTATAAATAATAATCAGAATAAAAATAAAATACTAATAACAACTTAGTTGTTTACTGTTGTGGCCAAGTAAATGGTTAAGTAATAACAAAAACCAGGTTTGCAGATATATCGTATATCAAACAGTAAGTACACCAGAAGAGTATTACACGGCTAGCGAGAGTGTATCGAATGAGTTAGCGCTCAATCTATTCATAGTTCACTGTTCCCCGAACCGTCTCTCCTAATAGACTTATAGTAGGCGGGAGAGTCTAACATAAACTCTTAGAGGGAGAACACCACAATATTTACAGTCAATTATTTTACCGTCATCAGAATGTTTCGGCTATTGTGCTCTTCAGCCTTATTCAGGTGTCTGTCGATTCTGGTAACCTTCAAAGAATTTTCAAATTAAACCCTTTATTTTATGAACCTGGTCAGTACCTAGATGGGTGACCGCTTGGGAATACCAGGTGTTGTATGCTTGGATGCACGTGTAGCGTAATTGATAACAGCTCAGAGTCAGAACTCGGAGAGCTGAGTTCGAATTCCAGTTGGGTTTATTACCTTCACATACGCGAAAATACCTTTAGGGAATGTATGAATTCACCTCTTCTTCCCCCAGCTATTGGTAAGATAGTAGGACTTTGAAAATCATTATTATCTCCAAAAAATTGTTAATGCAATATTCACTCGCAAAAAAATTCTAACAATCTAAAAATATGTTTCGGCTTTAAATAACCTAAAAGCCATAAGCCATAAAAACAAATAATTCAAAAACCTTTATTTAATCTACGAAGGTAGTTTGTTTTTGTTCCATTATCCATATCTAGGAATATTTCACTTTAATCTTCGAATTTCCCCAAGAAGATTAAAGTATTTGTTCATGAATTTTGGTGGCATAGTAATTGTGAGTTCAATCCTTGGGCTGAGTAATGTAAACTAATAATGCCATAAACTCAGAACTACTAAATAAGAACAAGACGAGATGTCTCTAGATATGAACATCGGAACAAAAACAATCTACTCTCGTAGATTAAATAAAGGGTTTAGTTCAAAACTTCTTGAAGGTTATTCGGATCGACAGGCACTTGAAGAAGGCCAGAGTACACAACGGCCGAAACGTAATAACAACAACTATGTTATATCGACTATACTATAATCACAAACAAGCGGTTGCCATAAAGCAAATTAAGGAAGGAAATTAAATACTTTACCGGTTCAAAATTAATTCCTATTAATTTCACTTCAATAAACATATCGTTCGTGTTGATATTATTATACAGCTTATTGACCTGTATAAATGCAAGAAGAGAATATTAAATATCACATCCAAACCATTTTAATATTGTTAATTTCTTTCCTAAAGTCTCTAAAATTCGATAGTCGATTTCTGCTGTGAAACAGTAGTTAGCAACATCGTCTCGCACTCTATTACTACTGTAGTGAATTCGTTCCTCATTAGGTGCCCTACAGTTGTGGCAATGAAAATAATGGCTTGGCGTCTCACCGTGGAACAATGGTTAACAATCCAGTCTCGCAAACCACGACTACTGTAATGAATTTAACTCTTGTTATTTATTAAGCATAGTTTAGTTTTGGTATGAGGTCACAAATATGGAGCATACAATGAGGATTTAACTCACTACTCAGCAGTAATAGTCAACCAGTCTACCTTGCTCAGCATTATTCCATGCAGTGGCGTTCTTTAAACCTTATTTTTCGGTCTTGATAGTTTCACAGATATTGAACTCCTTTTCGTATAATTGTTGTTGTTAACACAACGTTTCGGACGATACATTCTTCAGTAAACCCCTCCCCACAAGTGTATTCCGTGGAAAAGAAAAGGAATCTTATTTCTTCCAGGAAACAAATCGATGTAAAAAATAGTCGTTATTATACCGAACGAACCAATCCCTTTTACTAAAACGACATGCATCAAATTCCCAAGAGATTCCAAATTATAGGCGAGTGAATTCCCCAATACCCACTTTTCTAAATAAAGAAAACCACACTTGTTATATTATCTACAATGCACGGAGAGTGTAGCGGTCATTGGCGCAGAAGTAGAATTCGACGTTCCGAGTTCAATTCTCGCTCGATTCTGTTTTGTTCACTTCGCGCTTGGAAAAGGCATTAATCTTTCCCTAGCTATGAGTTAGCGGGACAGATTGGTCTCTCATGACTTGAGGCGGCAACATGAAAACTCTGAATTCAAAACCAAAAGAGGGATGGGCTCCGTCAGGCCATATTGTTCAAAACACACCACTGCTGCTTTGGTTACAGTATATGTGATGTTATTACAATCCTAATGAATTATGGGCAGCAGTTGAACTAATGTTCTCATCTTTGTTGTTATTACAATGTTTCGACCAGTGTGACCTCCGGACTTCTTCAGGAGTCTGAGTAACCTTCAGGGAATTTCTAACTGAACAATTTAATTTACGTGAGTAGATTGTTTTTGTTCTGTTATCCATATCTTGGGATATCTCGTCATTTTTTTTATTTGTTTTAAGTACTGTTCAGTTATTGTTAGTCCTGTTTCTACTGAATCTGAATTTCTTTTACCCAATCCACAATTACTCATATCACTAAATTCAGAATCAACGCCAGGCTATTGTCTCTAGAGGTTTAAAGCGTTGTTTCGAGAATTTTTGTAGTATAGTAATTGCGTCTTCAATTCCTGGGCCGGGTAATACAGACTCAGTAGAGAAAGAACATTACTAAAACAATTAACCAAGACAAGATATCTCTTGACATAGGAAGTAGAACGAAAACAGTCTACGTCCGTGGATTAAATCGAGGTTGCAATTCCAAATTGCCTGAAGATTATCCGGATCGACAGATGCCTGAAGCAGGCCTACGGGCACAACAGCCGAAACGTTGTGATAATAACAAAGATGAGGACACTAGTCCAACTATAAATAATAACTCGTCATCCCCAAAATTCAGACAGAAACCCACATTTTACTGGAATGACTTATGACTGACCAATAAGCTGATATATGTTGTTCCTTCAATTTCCTCACTCTCCAACAATGATCCTATCAGTAATCTGGATTTAATCCCAAACGGAGTAATATATATATATATATATATATATATATATATATATATATATATATATATATATATATATATATATTTCTTCCTACAGATATCTTCCGTACCTTTTTAACACTTTTTTATGTTTTCGCTTTTATGTTCTTCATGTATGATCTTAAGTGAATGACAGGTTTCCCCATTATATATTTTCCCCACATGCACATAGCATTGTATGTATGCACAGTTTTCATATTAACTGACCATTTTCCTTTCTTTTTAGAAAGATAATTACCTTTTCTCACAATGAGATACACCTGATTAGGACTGAATAATGGATCGTTCGATGTATTGTGTTTACAAGTAATTACCAGAACAGTTTCAGTTATTCGAACAATATTCGGTTTATTATAGAAAAACCTCAAAGTAATAACAATAAACATATTCGACCATTTACTTCAATTCCTGATCACTGACACTCCTTTATTCTTGTTTTTCAATTCATTTCTAAATATAAATACTTACAACAGTAAAAAAGATCCATAACGCATTTCTATAGTAATCTCATTCGCAATACATTTGCAGCACACATATTGTAGCCTTATTCTGGGAGCAATTCTTACTTTAATTTTTAATGATTTTCAATGTACAACATACAGTTTCAGTGTCGATAGTTGCTCAAAGAGATTTTAGATACATGCTGCAAAATACGGGTTTTAAGCATCAATTTTTGCTGTTGCCAGATAAGTTTACTTTGTTAGTGCAGAAACAGACTAAAAAGGAGTGGCGGACCCAGTGGGTAAAAAAAAGAAAAGCAAAGATTCTTGTATCCGTATTCTGGGTTCAAATGCAGTCGTTGATAAAATACAATTGTGGTCATTGTTTCACTTTATTCTCCTATCATCACAAACCTAACGTAATTATTACATTATGTCAGATTCGGTGACATTTATCTAACAACTACTGCAAATGACGTCCAATGTTGCCACATCTGCATAATACAGTTTAAGACCCTAGCAGGACGAAAAAGCCACATCCGCGCTGCCCATATTTGAGGATGGATCAAGCAACAGCCTTGTTCGATATCGAGTCGCAGCCATCATGTTAGATTTCATTAGGCAAGTTAATGTTCCCTTACGTATATGTATCTTCATTAAAGATATTGATCACTGCTTTTGTACTTGTCAGATTTTATTTACTTTAACCAACTGATATTCATAAAACTTTCAGAATATATATATGCATTTATATGAGCAATGCATTGTATGAATGTCAGCTTATAATATCTAGGCGTGTCTTTATTACGAATATTGATAACTTATTCTGGGTGTATCAGGTTTAATGCAAACAAATTTCAGCATAAATTTTTATTTTATATTAATTCAAAAGATATAAATAAAAAAAATAAAAATATATTCTGGAACAGATTATGATTTTTTTCTATGGTGGTATGAGCTACTTGACATTCTACAAGTGTCAACTCGTATTGGGTTGGTGCATAATTATCAGGCGTTTTTTAAACAATATTTATTATGAAAAAAAAAGAAGAAAAAAGAAACATAACAATTCAAAAATAACATCTTTAAATGATTATTCCGGAGCCTATGATTATCGACACGGATTTTTATAACCTGAAAATAAAATAATATTTTTATTAAAAAGAAGTAAATAAAACAGCAATTTTTATTAACAAATAACTCGCCTATAAAAACGCCTGATAATTATGCACCAACCCAATATTTCAACTTGATTTTGTTTGCTTTTTAGTGTTCCGACTAAAACATTACTTGTAGCAGTTTTTATTGTTCCCTGGAGAACTTTACTTGAATATTGTTTCGAAGTCTCATTTACAGATCCTTAATGATGGGCCACAAGTTTCTCATTGGATTAATATCTGGTGAGATTGATGGCCATTCCAGTAATTGGATACCTTTGAAACTTTTCTTTTTCAGCAAGGTGGGCAATATTTATTAACTTTTCGGAATGGAAATGAAAATGGTCTTTCATGAATATATTTTTAGCTTAGATTTTCTTGGTTGTGACTTGTATCATTAAAAATGTCTCGTCCTAAAACTTCTCTACATTTTTCTTAATTCTATTTTTCTTAATACCTATAAATTTAGGTACCTCCATGAAATCGCTAAAAAAGAGTATAGCATGATGAAAATACGCCAAATTTGACGAAAACAAAATGTTATCGTCTAAATTTTTATGTTATTATTAAGAGGGAAGACCAAAGTATTTTTTAATTATTTAAAAAAAAATTTCCTTCATTTTAGAACATTCTAAATTTTAATTAAAAAAAAAACTTGGTTCTCTTTGTATCAGCGGAACTAGTAAATAACTAGTAAATAACATGTAATTTTTTAGCACGTTTTTTTTTTGTATGACACACATTAATTTGGAAAATCTTGCAAAAATAAAATAATTTTCAGATGTTAATGAAACTTTCAGAAACTATTCACAAATGATGGAAATTATTATAAATATGTTTTCATTTTTTTTTTAAGTCATGGCAAAAATATTTATGACTCCCCCCCCCATAACTAATTTTATGAAAACTCTAGAAATTCAATAGTATTCAGTTTAGTGGTTATATAAGTTAAAACACCTATCTGAAAATCATCTCTGAATTGTAACATACAAAACTCAATAAAATAAAGATATTATTTAATTTCAAATGCTTTTATTTGCTTTTAGATATAGACAATATTTTCTGAAAGCAAAAACTTTTTAATACAATTATTTGTTATTTCTTTAATTATTTTAGATTTTTACATTTAAGTTGTTAAAATATAAAATTAGTGAAAACGGCATTCAGTTTCGTAAATGTCATTATGAGAGAGATTTTTTTACAGCATTGTAAATTGTATCACTTCGACCAATCAGAAGACCCGCACTAATTAACAAATGTAATGTTGTGTTCATAACACGGCTGTAATTAAAAAGTACAGAAGACCAGCTAGAATACAATTAAGTTGCATTATTTGAGTTAAGCATTGTTCTCTGCTGTTAGGGCCTTTATTTTTGCGAAACACGTATGGAGAAGTTAATTTGATTTTTTAATTTCAACTGAGAAGGTTACCTACAAGTATTAGTATCATCTTATGAAATTTATATGATCTTATTTTTATATTAATCTCAGTTATGACATTTTTCCATGAATGAAATATCAAAATTAATATTAAAATGAATGGAAATACAAATAACACAGTAAAATGTAATAAATGTAAATAAAACTATAGTATTTTATGTACACTTCTGATAAAATTAAATAAGAAAGGTAGCTATAAATTAATTAGATACCTTTCTTATGAAATTTAATCTCACTCTCAACGGTCTTATTTTAATTTTTTTATAAAATATTTTCCATAAAGCATCGTAAGCGTAAAGGTGAAAGCTAAGTACAAAAAAATTAGAGCGCTGAAAGTTTTCCTTAAAAATAACGAGGTAAATAATTTGCTCACTTAAATCTAAATAATTATGTCACTTCTGTCCCTCCGTACGATAACTTTTCCTTACGTAAGCTGTCAATACGGGATGAAATCATCACTCATCATCTGTTAAGTGACGCGAAAGTTTATGACCTGCTTTATTTTATTTTTAAACTACATCTTTTCGGCGCAGAAACTAAGTAATGCTTGTTTCAAAATATTTAAATAAACATTATAATTTCTAATTTTCTTAAAATAAGTTTTAAAAAATTATAATTAATTTTTAAAAGAATTTGAAACTGAGATTTTCATTTTTTTTTTTATAAAATGGAAAAAAATGGTTGACATGATTGATTATCTGTCAATTTTGCTGACTCAAAAAAAAAAAAAGAAGATTTTTAACGAAAATTTCGGACGTGCTAGGAACGATTAAAAAATGTAAAAAATACCCCCAAAATACTTTGATCTTTCCTCTTAATAATAACAAACATTTAAACCATAAAATTTTGTTTTCGTCAAGTTTAGCGTCTTTTTCATCATGCTATGTTCTTTTTTTAGCGATCTCATGGAGGTACCTACTATAATTTTATTGCCTACAATACTAAGCCAAAACATTACTCCAGATGATCTCCATTGGATTCTATATGTTGGTTGATTATTTCCAGGAAAGAGACAGCCTTTAGGATAGTCCTCAGGACCATATTATATAGCTCAACATTCATCGCCAAAAATAATGTTGTGAAATCAGTTATCATGTACTTCTTCTTCAGTCCACATACATTGCTGTTATATGTTTTACGACCTAATCAATGACTATAATATATTCGAGTTCCATAATAAAAACTCAAACCACCAAATAAGTCTTGTAAATATTCCTAATATAAATGAATAGTGCAAGCAAATAAAACGAATTTCATTGTGAAAACATTGAGTTGCATAAAATTTATTGAGTTTCATGTATTTGGTAAATATGATATATACCACGGGTTAAATAAACAAAATACTTACCCCCCAAAACACATGAGTGTAATATATTTGTGTGAGCTTTGTTTCTTTATCATTAGACCTATAATAAAAATAGAAAATTTTGTTAAAGCCCAAGTGAAAAGCAGAATTTTGATGATTATTTTTAAAGCAAGCAAATCCTCTTTCGATCTCATATACCTATATGTGTGTATAAATATAATATATATATATATATATATATATATATATATATATATATATATATATATATATTTAATTTAATTAGAAAACAGACTACATGAAGGGTTTATTGATTATATTTTATTTCCCCATGTAGGTGTTTTTCTCCTGATTCATCAGATCACATTTCCAAGTATATATATATATATATATATATATATATACAACAAAAATATATGTGTATATATATATATAGCAAAAAAATAAAATGTTCACTTATATGTCACTTCCCTGAGTTTCGTGGATACTCAGCTATGTGCCATGCGTGATATACGCTGAGGCGATGATGTATCTTTCGATACATGACTGACGAGGCAAATGTTTTCCCGCAGTTGTTTGCCATTTCTCTCTGCGGTAGACCGGTTGACATCCAAAGCTTTAGAACCAGGTCTGTCCTGCTATTTACCCATAGCTAGGATTAACACCTTTCCCAAGGTAAGTGAATATAAGGAATTCGACTGGAATTCGAATTCGCCTCTCCGATTACTTAATCCGAGCAGCTATCCATTACTCCGCCGTGCCTCCTCCTCGTAGATATTACAGTTACGAACGTATGTGAACATTTGATCTTATTTGGGTGCTACTATAGTATGTGGTCTACCACGGTATGAAACAATATAGCATGCGTTCTACCTCATTTATTACTGCAGTCTACTGTGCTATTTAACACAATAGCGCATCTAGCTAATTGTTTTCTCGTAAAAATGCGACTGTTGTTTCCTCGGTCAAGATGACACATCTATAGAAATCTTTCAGCAACATTTTAATCTGACTCCAGTTGATGTTAACAGTTTCAGACCTTGAGGGATTCTGATGTTGGAACTCCTTTTTTTTCCTTTTATGTGGACAGGACACACGAGTGGTGAGGTGAGGTGATGTTAGAATTCATCGTGTTAGATCGCAGTTAGACGGCACGAGAGGTGAGGTGAGGTCATGGTAAAATTCATATAACATGATAGACCGCATACTATACTAGCACCTATATATGCTGACAACTTTAATCACAAAAATTGTTCGTCTTGAAAGCGTTATCATCCAGAAATACACTGGTTGACCTTTCTTTTTTTTAAGCGAACCCCAACCATTGTTTATGTTTACATATTCAAATGCTAAAAAACTATAGCAACAACGATTGCCTTAGGCAGCAGCCGGTGTCCTAATTTAGTGAGCAGATGATTACAGTGATCAGACGTAATGGAAATCGATGTAAAATTCAAACACGATAATCAATCGCAATTGTTCATTAACAAACAAAAAAATACTAATTTTACACGAGTGAAAACAAGCAATAAGACCAAGCAAATGAATTCTGCATTTTGTACAGCCAGACGAAATATTTGTTAATGCCTAGTAACCATAATTTTAGTATGGTATGGGTTCACAATAATAGGCTGAATGAATGAATGAATGAATGAATGAATGAATGAATTCAGTCATTCATATCTCCCCCCCTCTCTCTCAGATATTTACTATAACTAACCTTGATAGGTTCAGGACCACATTCGTAAAGGGGCCTTTTAAGTATTCATTCGCATATCTGAGGATTCATATAATTGGTTATGTCAAGCAGGAGCTAAATGTTGGTTTACCTTGCTGCAAAGCTTCGCTGAAAGTACAATTGAACGTCGAATTATATTCAGTAAATTTATTTATTTTTGATATTATCGTGTATCTTGGTGTCAGTAAAAGTTAGACTGATTGGTCATTCGATAGGTCAGTATCTGTCTTCGCATTTAGCTCTTTTGAATGCCCTTCCTCCTCACTGAGTTTTTGGTAAATTTGGACTGTATTTCTTAAATGAAGCATCATCATTATTATTATGTTTAACTAGATTTACTTTTTACTTAACCGTTAGTAAATGTAAAAATGACCTTTATGCTCTAATAAAAGTAATACTAGAATTAAAGATAAACTATTTAAAAAAGAATAATGTTGGTCTTCCTCTTGGACGTGGGTGATCATGGTTCTTCACAACTTCCTGTCCTTTGTAGTTGTTAGGAATATTTGTCTTTTTGTTATCTTCCCTAAACCTTATTCTGCTAACCATTTACATAAGCTCGTTAGGTAGGTTATTTGCTGCTTACCTCTTACTTTCAGTATGTCCTGTAAGAGTTAAATTTTCTAAGCCCTCTTTCCTCATTATGCGTTCGAGAAACTTCAGCTCTCTTTTTCTAATTCAAAGTATATCTGGTGCTCCTACTACGTGAATTTAAGCGTGGTACTAGATTGGCATCTAGGTCCCACCCGTCTACTGTTAAAATAGTTACATGCAACAGCCACTTCTATTCCAACAGTTACATTTCTTGCACTTCCCGTCTGTGGAACTCCCTTCCGTTAACTTGCTTCCCTGATAACTACAATCTTCAAAAAAATCAAATGCAACGCCAATCGCCATCTTCTATCTTCTTGAATCCCTTTAATCTTTTATCCTTTCCTCTATCCCCCCACTATACCCAGTTTTTTATCCTGCGTACTAGTGGCATTCCCTCCTTGCTTGGGGTGAAATGATTAAAAAAAAATACTTTTCGTTTCCAGTTTCTTTAAAACTTCGTCGTTGCTTACGTGTTAAGTCCATGTTATTTTCAGCATCCTTCTATAGAACCATATTTCTGTTACTTCAAATTTTTTATTCATTTGTGATAGGAGGACCGATATTATATAACAGTCCAGTACTCTTTTCTTTTCTAACGAAATTTTCCTGTTTCTTAATACTTTTCTTAACTTTTGGAAGTTCCAATACGCCTTTGGATTTCGGCGTTGCATTTTCCGTCTTCTGTTAAAACACTTCCTAGATATTTAAATTTTTATACTTGCTTGATTTCTGGGTCTACAATTCGTAGTTTGCATCTTGGGCTGTTCATTTTGCTGACAATCATTGCATTCTGCCTACTTAAAACTGATAGAAAATATCTTCAAGACTCTTTGTGATTCTTACTTTTAATGGTATCTTCTGCATCTACAGACATTTGTCGTACTTTGCTTTCTACGCATTGCTTGTAAAAAATTTCCTTTTCTTAATTTTATTCATCGTATGTTTTCCGTGATACATTTACGCTTTAATCATAGTTTTTGTTCTTTTTTGTGAGATATAAAATAAATTTACCATTCTTTTAGATGTTAGTTTTCCATCTCGAAATAAACCTATTTAAAATATAGCGTTTTTTTTTTGTGGAGAAAAAAGGTTTAATCTCTGTTTCATCATTTATCTCATTTTATTAATGTTGCTGATTGTCGCAACGCTGAGGTCGATTCTACGACCGATATCCTTGTGAGCTCGTTCAACATGCGCAGTTCCTCATAGTCTTGGTCACAAGCCCAATAAGCATACAAAATTAAATTTAATCATTTAGCTATATCCTTTCTCAACAAATTTCTATATACTCTCAGCGTTTACAATAAGTAGAAGTAGTAGTAGATATAATAATCTGTTAAGTTTGATTTTCTTAGTTAAAAAGCAGTTTCAGTATTAATGTTTATCATCATCTTATTATTGCTTTTTTTATTGTAATGTTCAGGTTGCATCTTGTACTTAAGGACATCGGATGCGGATTCAGTAAATTATGCAGCTCCATAAATGTATGTCACTAATATAGAATTCGCTTATTTCTTTTGCTGAATCTACTAAGAAGGTAGACTTAATGAAATGAGAACAAAAGCCAACTTACTCCTGAGTGACCAGTGCAATAACTTCGATTGTATACTTTATTTTGGATCGCTTAAATCTGTTGTTTTCATGTATTACAGTCGTATTGATGATGCTCTTGAGAGACTGAAAACCTGATGAGAGAGAAAAAAAGAAACCTGGTCATTTGAGCACAGTTTTAAGATCTAAATAAAATATACAAAAATTTCCATGGTATGTTGTGTGCAAGGCAAGAGTTGAACTCATTTTTATGCATTAACTTATCTAAACTAATAGGGGCCTAGTAAATTCCTGTTAATTGGGACACAACTAGAACAGTTTGGTTCAATTTAGTGTTTGCAATGAACATTGTATTAAATAGACTTCAACTGTTCTACTAAAATCAATTCCTCTCAGCCTAATAGATTGGAGACAGGGCTTCATTGCATATGTTACCCCCATGTCTATAAATAGATATATTTTTAAATGATGCTTTTTGGGTGGAAAACATGAAACGTTTAAACTAAAATTTTAATGATTTTTGAACTCATTCTATTTGTTTCATTTGTAATTTCATGATATTTTTTATCCGAACTTTAGATCTTACAGAAATGTATCCAGAATGAAGGGCCTATATTACACTGAAATTCTAGTATTCAAATTCACCAGCAAAGAATTGTAAAAAAACAAAAATGATAGAGAAGGAAAATTCTGACTTGCTACAGCCTTGCGATCCTAGATATCACAGCTGAAAAAAATAATTATATTTATATTTATTGTTAGATTGTCAGCTTCAAATATTCAAGCTAGTAATTATAAATTATGGAAATTAGATAGAAAATAACAGATTTTTGGATTGTCTGGTATTATAATGAAAGATAATGATTTCAAGAGGCGCCATTGAATTTAAAAGACCCACTCCAAATAGCGGGGCCCAAATACTCTAAATTGTTTCAAATTAGTTTAAAGGAGACCCATTAAATGTGAAAATAAACAAATCTTCTTCGTTCTTATATCTTTAATGTTTTAGTTTTATCAGAGGCCCCAAGATTAGAGGGAGGTCCTTTTAGTCTTGAAGCCTCTGGACTGCAGCACTGGGTAAGGGGTGTAATGAAACAACACCAGAAAATTTTATACCAGCTATGTCGGTCTCACTGCAGCATATGACTACGTCAATAGAGACTTCTTTTTTTCATTCATTAGAAACCTTCTTCCAAGCTCCGAATCTAAATATGATAGAAAAACTATATTGATTCACAAATCATACATGTCTGGCGAGGATCCCCAATACTGAATCCTTCCAAACTTCATCGAGGGTACGACAAGGAGAAAATGAGAGTGACAAGCTATTTAATCTATTTCTAGACGACGCTCTGTGCATATACAAGCACAGATATGAAGAAATAGGCACTGAACATTTAAGCATTCCATACCATATCCCAAATGAATATACTAATAGAAAACAGCGTTCCTGTTTCCGCTCCCCAGGCGAATGTACAGGGGATGAGAGGGTATGCAAATGATATAGGAATTCATAGTTGGGACAAGAATGACCTTAAACAAAAAAAAAAAAAAAAAAAAAAAAAAAGACAACATCGTCTACCAAGTGTTCTAAGAAATAGGACTCAAAATAAACCTTTCCAAAACAGAAACAATAATCTGAAATTAGAATGAAAGCAATAGAGACACCTAGAGACACTCATCATAAAAAAAATCAGGATACGAAATTAGTAAATACTTCAAATAGCTCTGTGTATGGATCAGTTGTTTCAAATAACAAATTTAGTATAGGAGATATGCTAGGCGTAGTTTCGCCCAACACTACAAGTTGCTACAAAACCAAAACATTTAGTTGTTCTTAAATAGTCCTGTCGGATCAAGACTTTCATATGGATGCCACGTATGGCACCAAACTCGCTCAGAAATATCTAAACTGTCAACCGCTTTCTCAGATCGATGTTTAAAAATGGGATCGAGCAATGAAATGTGTAGGTCTCAGTGTGGAGCATAATTCTTCGGACCACGTAGACTAGCACTACAAAAATCACAAAGAACTATACAAGGTAACATAAAGTATATCATTCAACAACAGTAATAGCTAAACTGGATAGTACATGTAACTCGAAGAGAGAACGATGACATAATCAAGATGCTGATGTTCCACAATACCTTAAAAAGGGCAAAGAAGACCTTCATCAATCCTGGAAAGAGCGAAAACAGCTACTGACTTGAGAAACGTATTTTCCTGGAAATTTATTTCAAGAAAAAGACTATAAATTTCAACCGGTATCAATACTGGTTGCTCGTTCAGTGAATGGCGAATGTTTCCACATTTTAGAAACAGCTAATATAACCACTATCACTGTAGTGTATAAGCAATTTCATTAAAACCGTTTTCAGCCTCAGCATAATTTATACGAAGTGATAGGAAAGAAATTTACTTAGTTTAAATACAACTTTTACTAAAAGCTACAATCCATTCAGTATTTTTAGAAAATAAATGAAAAACGGCCTGTTTATTTATTTATTTCATTTTATAAACTTTAATAACCTAAATTTTGCTGGAGTTTGTGTAAGAATCACATCTTCACAAACTTCATCTTCATTGAGACACTCGACATTATCATAACATTCGAAGCCATCTCCAAAATGATTTCACATTACAACACGTACAGAGATTCTTCATGCCAGAACGTTTAAATTCAAAATAAACAAAATCATTCTGAATTGTCTTAGCGATTATTCTTATTCGAATTGTGTTAGATTTTTTATTTGATTTAATCCCAAATAAAAATAATTTCAGCAAGTGAAAATAATCTATATATAGCATATTTAGACAGTTAAAATACATTGATGACATACATATTCGTACCTATACTCACAACAAATACGCAAGATATACAGTCTAGTTAAGGTCAACTAAATGATGAATTCACAATGACCAATCAAATAAAATCACATTGATTTGTTTCAAGTGGATAATGAAATAGCGAAATCATTTTATAAATATTATTGATATTTAGATTATCCAGAAGCTGTTGAACAAAACAGATGTTCCGATTTACACCAGGGCATTATTTTATTATGCTGTATTTTCAATGGCGGACTGAGTGCAATGATATTGGTTGCCAGGAGACAAATGAGGCTCATCCACAACTATAATTTTATCATTTAATTTTCATGATGAATAAATAAAATTTTCAAAAAATCCATATGGAAAAAATGGTACAATTATCATTTTGTGGAAAAAAATGTGTATTTCTTAGTAATCACTGTGTACATGTACTGTACATATTACTGGCAGCAGATGGCCAGTGTAAATGTAGAATGTTATAAGTGAATTGCTTTTTTAACTTGGTTTAAATTGGTTGATATTTTTAAATAGTTTACTGTACAATTTAAACATTAACGGACAGTTCAAAAGTACAATAGAGAGCACTATATTCAGATTAATCGTTTGTGTTCATTAGATGATTTTGCGAATCTACTAATAATTGCTTCTGCATTCATCATCTAACAATTCCTCTTCAGTGGATAGCAACATGTACGGTTCCAAATTCTCCTCAGATAGCGAATTTCTTAACCATGTCATGATCTTTAACATTGAAAATGTCCTCTCATAATGGACTTGAGTAACTGATAGCGTGCAGATGACTTTAAAAAATGTTCTTATTCATTTTTATTATTAAAACAACTGTCGGTGTTTTTTTTTCTGTGTTGCATTTTTAATTGATATAGAGAGCCCCACTCACCATTGGGCAAGATGAAACCCTGGTCAGTTCGCCATTGTGTATTGTTATCCTATTTTTTAAGTTTGTACAGATTCAACGCCTCTCTTTCTTTCTCACATTTTAGAGATACCAAAATATTTCGTTTACATGCATATTTATTTCTATGTCAACTCGCAAACAACCAAAGAATTTCTGTAGAACATATGTACAGTCTTTATCTATGACTTCACGCATCAAAAGAATTTCTGTAACACACAATAACAAGGATTCATTTTTGTCTATATTTCTGAGATGAGGTATTATAATTATTTACGCCATTTACATTCTTCGGACTGTTGTCCTTATCTTTGTTGCCATATTCACGACATTTCAACCGTTGTACGCCCCAGTCTTCTTCAGGTGATGTGAATTTCGTTCTTTATTTAGGGGTAGATTTTTCTAGTTCCACATGGCCCAGTAGATAATATCGTTGATTAGAACTAGAGACTTGACCCAAAGAGTTGTGAGTTCAATACCTGGCTACTACAGTGGGGAAAAAAATTTGGAGAGATAACTGAGACATCCCGAAGTGGCAATTAGAACAATCTACCCCAGTAGACGAAATAAAGGGTTCAGTTTGAAATTCCAATCACCTGAAGGTAGAAGATGGCCGGAGCATACAACGGCCGAAAAGTCATGAATATAGCGACAAAGATGAGGACAACAGTCAATAGTATAAATAAGAATTTATTTATTTCTCTTTTTACCCTCACATGTCTTTGGAATATAGTCTACATTGCTTGCATCGTACATGAGGTTGTTAGGTTCTTTCCAATAGCTCCACTGTCCGTTGACCAAGCCAAAACAAACCAACAGAATTTCGAATGCTGTATTTTTTAAGGCCATCAAATCCTCCCCATTGCGATGTTTGCTGTGGTATAGAATGTTTACCCACCGTGACTTGACTGTGATCAATATGCTTTGTAATTAATTGTTCGGATGAGCTCTTCGCTATAGTATATAGACTTTTCGAATTTAAGCGCAGTACTAGGCTGGCGTCGAAATCACATCAATTTACAGTTGAGCTGGCTAACCTTAAATTTTATGCTAACAGTTTCATTTGTCGCATTACTCATTTATGGAACTCCTTTCCGGCTCTATGCTTTCCAACCAACTTTGATCTTCAAAAATTTAAATGAAATGTCAATCACTATCTACTGTCCACCTGATCACTCTTTCCTCTTCTCGATCATTATTAATATTTCTGTTCCCAATTCTTTCCAGTGGCTTTACTGCCTTGCATGGGGTGATACCGATAAAAAAACTAGCTAAATTGCGTACAAGGAGAGTAGAATAGTTTATTTAAGAGTACTGTTATTAAAGTTGTATTAATCACTTGAACCGGAAGTGGAATTCATTTCAGTTTTCGAGCCGTTAAGTATTTCATCACCACTGCACTGGAAAATCTGCAACTTCTACGGGAAGGAAACTGAAAGAAACTGGTATGAACACCACCCAGACCCGGTTACGGAGATAGGACCTGTCACAATTTTATGGGACTACACAATACACACTCACAGAACAATCAAGGCCAACCGGCCAGATATTGTTATTAAAGACCACAAACAAAAACGATGCCTCCTTATTGATATGGCAGTCCCTGCTGACTGCAATGTATCTTTGAAGATATTCAAAAAGTTGTCAAAGTACAAGGACCTTGAAATAGAAATCTCGAAAATGTGGCATATGGGAACATCAACAATCCCTGTTGTAGTTGGAGCCCTAGGACTGGTTGGAAAAGATTGCAGTAGACTAATTGAAGGGATTCCTGGAAGCCCGTGCCTCAAGGAGATACAAAAAATTGTTCGGACAAGTACAGCTCACACCTTACGAAGGGCTTTATCTATGTAATTTAATTTTTTTTTTTTTTTGTCAGTGGAAAGTGTCATGATGCCATTTCTAACCTTAGGTTCCTGGGTGGGACCCGGAAAGAAATGTGTAAACGCCAGAAATCAAAGGAAATATAAATAATAATAATCAAGAAGCGGTCCTGAAGAACAGAATTTGTAAGGTTCTTAGAACCCTTGAAATTCAAATAGATAACCCAGTTCAGGCCAGCAGACCAGATTTTGTCATTGTAAACAAACGAACGAAAAAGAAATAAAAGCTTGGCAAATATGACCTTGTCAGAAACGATACAATCTGTGAAATGAAAGTGACAATTTTCCTAGTGGATCACTTGCAATGAGTCCAAAAAACGCCCCGCCAAAATAAAAAAATAAAAAACTGAACAGTTTGGAAAGCCAAGAAATAATTGAAAGTATTCATATAACATTGCTGAAATGGAAAGGAATACAATGGAGAGTGGTGAGGATTTAACAAATATTCATCCAAAAATGCTGAATAACTCAGTTTTATTTATTATATTGTTTTTATTTTATTTATTTATTATATATAGTCAGTGTAAAATCAGTAATGTGATTGTTTCTACTTACTCTCTTTGACATTACAGCTATGGTTATGTCCAACCAATTTGTAGACTCGATGTCTTTGAACGAATTTATTCTTAGGATTTTGACTGGCCTGTAATATGATACGCTTGGAAACTTTCTTTTCTGGTTCGATTACGTGTTTGTGCCCATCTAAATGGAAGAAACCAGACTGAAATCAAAAATAAATAAACGATACACATTAAAAAAAAAAAAATAAAACGATAAGTGTCATTTCTCATAAATGTACTGGGTTACAAGTTTTGTTGATCTATCACGTAATTTGCCGGGGTGTCACGAATGGGCTTGGTTTTCTTTGCATCTCGAAATCAAAGTAAATGTCATGGTTGTGTCTATCTCCGCGAGGTGACGCTACCCGCTTTTTTTATACGTGTAATCTGATGTTTTAACTATTACTTGAAAAAATCATGCAGTAAATTTACATAAAATGTTATTTCGTAAGGTGAGCTTGGCACACGATCACAGTAGTAAGGCTACTACTGAAGATCAAACTGAATATGAATTGGTTACCGAAAAGAAATGACAAAATATAAAGTGATAGTATCCCCTGATAGTTTGGCATAAGGCTACAGTAGTGAGGGCATTAAAATTAGTGAACTGTTATTGAGGAATCGGAGAGCCGAGTTCGAATTCCAGTCAAATCCATTATATTCACTAACCCTTGGAAAAGGTATGAATTGTCTTCTTCTCCCCCCCCACCAACTAAATAGCAGGACAGACCGGGTTCGATAGCCTTTGATGGAAACTAGTCTACCTCAGAAAGAAATGGCAACGTACTGCCTCTTCAGTCATGAATCGAAAGATACATGATCGCCAATGTTCGTGTGGCTATTCTATTCAGTAACCTTCCCTAGGTTACAACACTAAAGAAAAGGAAGCCATGGAGATTTACTACTGAAAATTCATTAAAAAAAAAGTAATACTTCTTTAATGATAGTAACCTAATCTGGCGCACCAGCGAGAATCAAGCTTCAGATACTAGCGAAATGGTCCACGAGACTAGCTTGTTGTCGTTCTATAGACACTCACTGTTTTCTGTCTACTTTCTGTTTTTTTAATATTCCACTATCTGCAGATATCTGCTGTAATTTACTAAGGCTGGCTTAGTTTGATACAAGACCTTAGTAACGGGGTTCCTTGTGGGAATCGAACTTACTACATTATTGAGCTAAACTTGTAAAAGATCACGTGTGAAACTGGCTATGAATAAAGTCACACATCCAACTTTATGTTCAGTTAATGTATGTTTTTTTTTCTTTTCAAAACGAGCCTAAAAAATAAATATTGTGCAATAATACGAATAAACCTGTAGTGACTAATGCTTGCACTTAAATAGGCGTTAGAATTAAAGTGAGATAAGGCCTCAGTGGCTGAGATAGTTGTCACTACCTACGTTCATTGTTTGGGCATAGATAAGAAAAATATAGCGTTACGAATACTGATTGTCAAAGAAGACTGTTACTTCATAGCTGGAAGATTGGCGTAACATAATCTTTACATCTGTTATTTTGACCTTGTGCAGCACTTGTATTTCATTACAGAAATTCAGGCAAGAGAGGAAAGCTGAAAAATATATCAACTGAAACATTCCGTTAAACAAAAAAGTGAAAGTAGCTGGGAAAAAAGACCTTTCAAAATTATGTTAAGTAAGGATGCAACAATTATTTTCAGTGTTCTGCAAGGGGAAGCAGTATTTAGTTCGTTCTTCCAATTTATGTTTCAGCATCGTTCATTACAGGAACGTGGCAAACTGGACAGGGGACTATTTTCCACTTTACAGTCTCTTTCCCACAGACGAAACACTTCAAGCCTCCCATTACTCTAGCTGTATTTCCATGGTAAATGTTCTGACAAGGTGCATTCCTTGGTTCTGTCAACCGTGACTTTCACAACTAAGATTGTCTATGTTAAGTACACTGGAACGAATCATTCCTATTCCATTCATATTTCGTTAATCAGTTCCATTCGGACGGCTTCTTCCCAAGAATCGCTGCTTCATGGAACAAACTCCCCCGATCGTTACAATCTTACTCTCTTCAAGTCTGTGGTTAATCAACATCGTTTCTATATATAGTCTTCAACTGCACTCCTTATCTCCATCTCTTACGTGTAACAAATTCAATCGTATATATGTTTGTAACGACAAAGAACACAACGTCAACGGAACAACTGCCGCGTGAAATGATGGTTCTAGAAAGATGCTACTATATTTCAAAGACTGTTTAAATTAAAAGGATATACTTGCCAGTGACTGTATATTACAAGAATTCCGTAAGTGGGATGAAAAATCGTGTTCTTTGCAATATAATGTAACTGAGGCATCGTACATTCGGTCTTCGTAGAATGCCGCATCCTGTAAGGAATTTAAAGAAAAGGTTTCCATTAAAATTCAAGCGTAAACACGAAAATGGGTGCGTGATCGGACACGCACCAATATAAATTGTCTTATTATACGCATTATTCTTATGACTGAATAGTTTCTTCGTATTTTTGTTTTGCATCTAAGCTTTTTTCGGTTGCTAAAATTAAACTGTAGAAACTGGAAAAGAAAATCGGGCTTTGAACGAGACGTAAACTTGTATCTCATATTTCAACAGATGTTCATCCATTGGCGATACCATAGCTAGTTAATCTATCAAATTTCCGATTTTATTCCACACAGGATTGTTAGCTATTAGCAGTAATATATTTTTGTAATTTTTTAAAAAATTTCTTGAATGGTTTGAAACAAAGTATTTTCATTGCTACTGTGGCAACATTACCATTTTATGTTGTGTTTATTATCGATAGAGTAAACTAAATAGAGAATATATGAAATAATGCTGGTGTTCCTGGATATTTTCTCGAACAGAATGAAATGAAATTACAAGCAATAGTGTACAATTATCAACGACGTATTTTACTGACTTAAACTAAATAGAAAGTATAAAAAATGAGATAAATGAAAATGTGTATATATAGAGGCCCTTTTTTCTTACGTACGTGTGTGCTAGGTTTTAATACAAATGGTAAGAGACTTATATTTGAAAAAGAAGTCCCTTGTTGAATTAAGTATGTTTGTATGTAGTCAAATAAGCTTATAGAATCGTATGCCATATACTTTCTGTGTTGTGTCCAAAGCAACATTAAATTTGCTGTTAGTAAAATGGCAAACCCTAGAAGGAAAAATGAAACGCGTCCTATCTGTAAGGCATCTTGTGGCTAAAAGAGAAAGAAGGGTATTTATCCCCGACGTCTACTTGAAAAGAATGTAGCAAAAGGCCGGGTTTAAAGTTGGTATACCACGTGGGACTTGGGTCCAAAAATAGTCCATTCCACGTGTCAGGTTATTACTTTAGCCCCTTCCCAAGGGAGAGGTATTACCTGAGAAGATGCCCCCTCCCCTGAGACTGAACTTAATGTGTAACACTCAGGCCAAAAGGCAGTGACACAAAACTTGCGCCTTTTTTTTCTGTTATACAGCTTTTTGGCAACACAATTTAGTGGTCCTCAACTCGAAGCTTCTTGCAGACAAGTGAGGTAATCTCACACTACATATTTTTATTTTTTTAAATTTAGACTTGTTTCTTTAGCTTTTTTGTTGCTTGTCAAAATTTTAGCTGATTTAATATTGCATGTTGATCTAAATATTGATCTATTTACTGGATGTTAAGCTGCAAAAATTTCAGAGAAAAGGGTGGTTTGAGACGGGATTTGAACTATGCAAGTTTGGCATTTATTTACTCACTGAAGCTATTAAAGTTTTTATGACAATGCATGACTCTTATCTCCGGTGTTACGATGACTATCTAGTAGTAATAATCACAGTAGTACTACCCATCAGGTTTGGGAATTCTGAAAGTATTATATATTACACGTTTTTATTATTAATTTTATTTATAAAGTCTTTTCAGGCAGTATCTCTCTCTTGGGATGAGGCTAAATTTAACACGTAGAATGGACTATTTTTAGACCCGAGTCCCAATAATAAATAGATTCAGGTGGGAAACGAACTCGTGTCCCATATCTCAGGACATATTCGTATATATTACAGCTCAGGTTTCAGGGATTATGTTTCTATTGATTTTCTGTTAAATGCTGCCGTCTTCCTCAAGCATGTCATCCGATCAACAACACATTAAATGGCGATTTTACAGTAACTGACGACTTTACAAAGCTAAGAACTTACCCAGAAACACACTATTTTTCACGAGTACAAATACATTCTTGTAATTCAAAAAGGAATCTATTGTTCGGATTAATCCACATTTTAAACGCTTTCTTTATTAATAATTGATTTTATACTCATACCACTTTTAAAATTTGGTCATTTATTGATGAAAAATCTTTTAACTTAAGCAATTAAATATTATGTCTAACCCCTTTTACATATAAAATACACGCATATATATTATCTAAGCCACGCATGGCCAAGGCAAAAAAGAATATTAGATGAGTGCAAATGAAGAGAAGCGAAGAAAGCATCAGAAATATTGTATAAATTGAAAACTCAGTAAAATAATGATTTACCGTAATTGGAGATGTTTCCATGAGAACGACTTCATTCGTGTCCTTTGATCGGATGTACACAGGAACATTGTAATTGACATCTTTTTTAGTAAAACTGAAATTTACAGTCCTATCTGTACTTTTGATAACAACAGGGAGAATATCGGGAAAATCTTCTCTGTTGTGGAAATCGAATTCTACCTGATGTTTTGTTAATTGGCGACCTGTTTAGAAAAAGAAATCGAAAAATTATCGAATGAATTTTAATTTCGAACTAACAACGCAACTCGGTTTGTCTGAATTTCTTAAATGGCAAATTGTTTTTACTAATTTTTGACCAGGAATAAAAAAGGGAAAATAAATAAATAAAAACAGAATGAAACTCGCTGATTGAAATCTGAATTTCCTCTTCGGATTGACTTTCCTAGCCAAATCTACTGAGGATAGGAAATGTAAGTTCAAATCTCGTCGACGGCCACTTCTTTATTATCCGATCCATACTTAACAATTGTAGCGTGTAAAACAACCTCAGTTGAAAGAAAAGATAAACAATTACTAATATTTAAACCATTTCATCTAATAAATTCAAACAACTTTATACTATTAAATTTATAAGTATTACTTTACGTAAAGAAGCAACAAAAATCAGAGAAAAACTAGCAAAAAAAATAATAATAATGATAATTCTTCATTTATGGAATTCATTTAACTTAAGAATAAGATCTCTGTCTGCATTTCTGAGATGAGGTTTTGTAACTATAAACTATTTACATTTTTCGGATCTTTATTGTCATATTTCACAACGAAATAAAGGGTTCAGTTCGAAATTCCAACATATACCACCTGAAGAAGGACGGTGCGTAGAACGGCCGAAACGTTGTGAATATGACAATAAAGATGATGACAACTGTCCGAACAATGTAAATAGTGTAAATAAGAATGTTTTATATTTTAGTTTCACAAACAGGGTGCGATGGGTAAATTGTTGCCATATTATCTTTTTTAATTTTGCAAGTAACAAGGAGACCGTCCAGTAGATTTGCAGGAGATTCCGAAGTTGTCTGGAGGCAGTGATTGAAGGCCATGTCGATTTTATTGAATAAATTTTTAGTATTTCTGACATTTTTGTGTAATTTTGGTAAATATATCTGTTAAAATGAGATGTCAGTGTTATTTTCATTTTTGCATAATTTAGACGATAATTTTTCCATCTCACCCTGTACATCATTTTATTTTTATCTGTTTTTATTGATATTCGCACTCAAGGGTAAGCGTATAATGTAAATTCAGGTCATGTTAGAAGGCTATTTTTCTCTTAATCATGTTGGTTATTTAGCAGTTGTAAACGTGACAATGACCTGACTATTCCGATATAAAACAACAAAAAAAAAGAAAGAAAAACAAATCAAAAAGTTAAAAACGTGACCCAATGTTGCCCAGATTACAATAACTTTCAAGATTATTACTTTAAAAAAAGTTTATATTTAAAAAATAAATTTGTAATGTATTGAATGAATTTATAAAATATAAACCACTTTATATTGCCCTATTTTTTCTTCTTCATGTTCAATAATTCCGGAATATTTCTATTTATTGTAAATAAATACAAGTATGGCACAAAGCCAAAAAGGGGGAATGGGTTGAGGCTGGTTTTCCCTGACTATTTTATAACTAGCTAATCGTATTCACGACCCATTCATTCATTACAAGTTACACATTCACTCGTCCGTCACCAATCATTCCTCCATTCACCATAATGCCGCATCCTTTCAGTGGGATATACAAAACGCACCCCAAGATTTAAAAATTTGATGTTAAGAAATATTTCATAGATAAAAATCTAATGATTGACATTGAGAGGGGAAGAGATGAACCCAAAAACAAATTAAATATCAACACAAAGCAAACTAAATATAACTGATGTTAGTAGTACCCGCCCAAACCTCAAAAAAGAAAGGCCGCTGTATTCTGCCCATTGGACAAAAAAATCAAGAGGTTCTCTCGCTAAGGGAGAAGGAAAGGAGAATATATATATATATATATATATATATATATATATATATATATAATATATATATATAATTCCTGAATATTAAGTTAAACTAAATACTTTATTCTCTGTTTATCTCCTTGATATGAATGAAAACAATTATCCTAAATAAAACTAATTTTTCATATATACGTATATTAATATTAATTTTGTTTTAATACACAAAAATGTGGCACAAGGCCAAAACTGGGGAGGGTGATATTGGTTTTCACTATTTTAAATTTTAACTTAGCTAGTTACATTTGTTGACCCAGCCAAACTACTAATGTTCCATTTAACAGTAACTTCATATTTATTCGAACACGTTCATACAGCACTCACCTAATCAACACGTTCTCTGTCTATATTTACATTATTCGGACTGTTGTCCTATCTTTATTGTCATATTCACGACGTTTCAGGCTTTATTCAGGTGATATACGCTGGAGTGCCTCTTTTCAACGAGTTATGACATCGGTTCAACGCATGTTGTCTGGTTTTTATCAACGACAAAAATTTTTCGGCATTTTTTTTTTTGTTAAATTTGTATTTGTATATATAAAGATTCTTTCTAAAAGGGGTGTTTGGATTAGAATATGTTGTATTGAACTACAATTTTAAAATATTATTTTTAATTTTACTAATAAACTATACTCCTTTTTAAAACAAATAAATGTAAAAGAATGACTTAAATTATTTAAAAATTATTATCAAATATCAAATACATGTATGTATATTTCTTTTATCAGCTTTTTTTAAGGCACCTCTAGACTTAACCTCTTTTCGAAAGTAACTCATATTTGATACACTAGTCGTCAGTATAAATGAACACGCTACCGCCCCTTATCAAAATGATTGGATTTCTCCGTATCCTTGGAAATAAACATTATGAATGTATGTGCTTATAAAACTCAGTAAATTTCAAAATAATTTATTCCAAAATTCGCTTGAAAATGAAACAGAACTAGGGCCTTTAATTTAATTATATCATCAATTTGAAGTTTTTAGTTTCTGTTTTTGAAACATGGTAATTCCTGTGTAGCGATGGAACCATATTTTTAAATCAGTTAATTTTTATATATATATATATATATATATATATATATATATATATATATATATATATATATATATATATATATGGGGTGAGGTAAAAGTTTACAGATTTTTTTTTATTTTAGAAAATTTTAAATTCATAGCTTCATTATGCAATTATAAAAAAAAATGCTTTCCTTAGCTTTCTATGACTTATATTACCTTTTAGGTAAATTGTGTTTGAGTAAATATTTGTCAGATATCTCAACTGCGCATATAAGACTTAGGGTATATTTTTAGCCATTTTTCGTTTTTGAGCAGCACCTGAAGTAAACATACATTGTGCTTCCATGGCAAAGACAAGAGTCGCGAATTTTCAAACTTCTGAGATTCAGATAATAATGAATAAATTTTGACTGGGTAGTTGATTTTTTTCTACAAGCGTTACATGTAAATTTACAATTTAAATTTTGTATCATTTTGTATTTTACTTTTATTTGTTTTTCATGAATTTTACTTTTTAAAAAAAGATGATCGTTATACGGTATAGAATTCGTTCTCGAAACTAAGTGTGTGTGTGTGTGTGTGCGTGCGCGCGCATGCGTGTGTGTGTGTATGTGTATGTATGCGGGCACCCAATTACCGATTTGATCAAGCTCGTTTTCATCTTTTTTAGGAAATCAAAAGAAACACTGTTCAAATCTTGTCATTCCAGTCCAGTCACGCATCAAAGCTTTGCTGAGTCGTGGCAGTGTCCCCATGGTCTGTTCACTCATCCACAGTTATAAACAGCATTGTAATTTTATCTGGAATACAGAGCTTCCATCGTGAATCAGTTCTGACGTCATAATCCCAACGACCAATAGATTTTACTTTGTGTCACTAGAAACGCGTCGTGCATTTTCTTCCTTTTTAATAAGCACCGAAAAATTTTATCTAATGTTAACCCTTTTCAGACTGAAATTATTTCTAAATTATTTCTAACTCAAATTTAAATTCAGTTTATGAACTATTAAAACGAGTTAACGACTCTGTCACATAGATGTTGTAGAAGGCCATCAATTTTCGCAGAGGAATAAAATTGCGGAAATACTAAAAATGTAACATTTCCACAAATTTATTTATAGTTAAAACGAACAGTGGTATAATTGTATCGAAATAAAATATTTAATACGGCCAGTATTATTGATCCAAATGTCAAATAGTTTTTCATCTGTATGTGTGTGTTGATAAAGTTGTCTTTTTATATGTAATTTTATATGTAATTTTTTATGCTGTTTTACATTGAAAGCTTAAAGGTATTAGCATTAGTAGTATCAGTAGCAGCCATAATACAGCAATACAAAATACGATATTTGGACTCCTATATTTTAAAATGCAATTAAGAACAACAGTTAAAATTATACTAGCTTGTTAGATACATAACAAAGAAATTAATAATAAAATTACAGATAGTATCACTACATATTTCTTCAATAAATTCAGTCTGAATATGCAAATTTTATAAATCAAAACTTCTGCAACGACATGCAAACAACTCATAACCTGAGGTTTGACATTACATAAAACTTGAAATAAGATCCACATTCATCCCAAATTTAAAATATCACATTATGACTATACCAGTAACATCTCTAATTTTTGGAAGAATGATAGAATGGATATATTCTGGATTATTCCACTTCAAAATTGAAAAAAATTGTTTTTTAACCTTTTGTTACAATGTATTTGAAAGGCCGATTTTAGACTTGCTTTAATTGTTTCATAAAATGAATACTTCTCACACTAGAAACACCAAATTTGATATCTAGCCATTTCTGGGGTGCTTTTTCCATTTATCTTGGTTTAAATGATCTAAAATCAACAGATTAGAATGTATATGGAGCAGATGCTGAACAAGTACAGTCATGACTCAACAATCAACATGTACAATTTCTGGACTGTAGAGAGAGAGAAGCTTAACACTTAGTAGTCATCTACAAATTATTGTCTACGTTTACTTACTGAATTTGAGTTTATTTGCAGTTCATAAAAAAATTGCACTAAATACAATCAGGGATAAATATAAATTTAGAGTCATCCATACACCTGAGTAACAAATAAGGGAGCACTAAAATATTTTCTCAAAAAACCTATTTCCACAGTGGTCCTTAAAACTGACACATTAAAATATTTTAGAATAAAATAAACAATCATAATCCATATGAAATAAATATTACTAAGAAATAATAATAGATTAGGAAAATGAATATTAAATCATAAATTTGTATCTAGATAGCAATAAATCGGAACTAAAATCCATTCATTAGATAATTTAAAAAGTAAGAAAATTGTTTGAAGGGGTAACTTTAAACAAAATGTTACTTGGTAACTCAAATGCTGATAATTATTGTGAGAATACTACAAAAACATAGAATTTTTTTATAGAATTTTTTTTTATCTCATTCTTTGAATATGAACATTTTTCGATCAATAAGTCCTACGTTTTCTTTTCGTGATTTCAATCTGAGCGTAAAGTAAACAAATCGATTTTTGTTTCATATTTTTATGACGAAAATGGTTTTTAAATCCCATTTACATTTTAAATATCATAGAAAATTAATATCTAAAACAAATTCTTATCAATTTCCTTGAAAATTTCGTCCATAGAAAACATGCTGGTCAATTCTTTTGTATCCGTGTTGACGCTGTGTATTGAGTCTCGCGTGGAGTTGAAATGATGGCCGAGCAAGTCGCAAATGGTTACACATGATCGCACACACGCAAAATGGAGCTATCGTTTCATATATTTCATTTTGATTTAGTATCATAGATTATTAAATGAGAGTTTTAATGATATATTTTATGTGTTTTTATTTTTACAAGAAGCATTTGAATTTTACGATTAAACTTTTCATTTGAATTGTTTAATTAAAATTAAAAAATATAAAATATATGAAAATGAAGCTTAGAATATCAACTTTCAAACTAATGTGCTACCAAAATTGTAGTAAATCCTGCGGAGTGCACATGTTACAAAATTTGAGGAAGTCTAAACTGCCGCCAGTGAAAAAAATGGCCAAAATTTTGCGAAATCACCAAATGTCTCTATTTTCAAACTGTAACGATCCTCGCACACTGTAGTACATATAAAAATAAATAAGATAGAAACAAAGTTCATGCAATAAGCTTTTATTTGGTATGCATTATGTTTTTATGGAGATATTGAATGAAATAACATGGCGAGTTGAATATATGCCTTTTTTAGTGCTAAGAATTTCATCGACTGTAAGCTGAGTGTTGGGATACCTAGTGAACACTGTCGAAAAATAGATAAAGTTGCGAAACGTACTAATTTATCTTTTTACCGAAGACTGAACAAGGACTCGTTATCGAAATTAAAATAATAGGCTCAAAACTTCTAACTTAGCACTGGCTAAAAATATTTTGTTATTATTTATTTATTTATTTACTTTTGCAGTGATTTTATTATTCAATCTTTCTAAACAAGGTTGTCTGTAAGTCTCAAAAAATGTAGGGTCCTTTTTATGAGCTCTCATTGGACAAAAAATAGAAATATAACAATTTAAATTTCTGTCCCTGGAGTCTCTTTTTACACAAAAATGACAACTTCATTTCTGTAGGAAAATACAGAAGATTTGTGATAGATAGATAGATAGATAGATAGATAGATAGATAGATAGATAGATAGATAGATGAGAGAGAGAGAGAGAGAGAGAGAGAGAGAGAAATAATAAGCAATAATAATAATAAAGATAGTTTATGCCTAGCAAAACAAGGTAAAATTCTAGATAAAATGTTTAAAACTTATCTTTCCGACTCCAAGTTTCGCAGAACTGGTATCGTCTGGAGGTGAGATAATAAACTGAATTTACTTACAGATATTAATTTTTCTTAATCATTTCAATCCAAGTAGGGCGATGACGATTGAAATTGCAATTATTTTTTTGAAAATCGTAGTTGACAAGAGAACAAGATACCGGGAAGTAGTTCCACAAGATAGAAGCACGAGAAAAGAAACTATTAGCATAGAACTTACGGTTGCATCTGGCAGTTTTTAGTGAAATTAGGAGACTTAGGTGCCAATGTAGCACTGCTCTTAAATTCGTGGAGTCGAGGTTTGCAAAGAGGAAAGCTCATCAGAAAAATTACCGTGAAAATATTTATAGAAAAAGTACAGCGAAGCTACGTTATGGCGGTGAGAAAGTGGCTGAAGCCGAGATGGTTGGTCAGGGCTCATAACGCTGCAAATTTTTCTTTGAATTTTATCAATAATCTCTAGATATATAGTAGAAGCACCAGACCAAATGTGGCAGCAATATTCCATACACAGATGAAAGACGAATGGAAGACTTATAAATGTGCTAGAAAGATTGTCGAAAAAAATGGTTTAACACAACAGAGAGAACCAGTTTTCCTGGCAGCAGACCTAGCAATTAATTCAATATAATAGTTCCACTTAATGTCGGTGGAAATTGTGAGACCGAGAAGGCGCAATGTGTTACTTTTCTGGAGGTTAGCATCAGCCATGCTGATGGAAGACAAAAAAAAGTTCTCTAAGATGTTTAAAGACTTTAAGACTATACTTTTCATATATATATATATATATATGAAAAAGTATAGTCTTAAAATGTGCAATATTTATGGGATAAAGGGCTCAATATCAGAGATAGAGCGTGTGTAAATATAAAAGTGAACACTGAAATCAACACTTAGAGGCGACAGTCTGTATCATGCTAGACGCAATCGTCAGGCCACTATATATATATATATATATATATATATATATATATATATATATATATATATATATAATTAATAAATATACATTTTCCCTTACCAGTAGCACAACTCATGAGTTTCATGCACAATGCAATCTTCAGGTGGTCAGTAGAGACTGACTGTTACATAATTTACATTTTAATAAAAATTCCTGGTTAACGCAATGTTGATGCAGTCTTTATATTATACAAATATATGAAACGGTCAGTCTCTACTCAGCACCTGAAGATTGCATTGTGCATAAAACACCGAGTCTTGCGGTGAGGAAAAATCTATATTTATTAATATATATTTAATATCTCTGTTATATTACATCGAGCACTATTTTATAAACTGAATATAACCTCAATCAGCTAAGTGACAAATTTTATATATGTATTAATCTTATATATATATATATATATATATATATATATATATATATATATATATATATATATAAATGCGAATGCCAGTGTATCATAGTTTTTCAACTTTACTCCTACTTGGAGTAACCACATCATTTTTTTTTATGAGCATTTCACCCCAAGCAAGGCGGGGATGGCACTAGCACGCATGGGGTTAGAGAGTGAAACTAAGAGAAAAGACTGGGTATAGCGGGGACTGAGGAAATGATAAAAAGAAGAACGGGAATCATGGAATCAGGCTGAGCAAATTAAAAAAATGCCGGGGCGGATATGAACCTGCAATTCTGAAATTTTGTCTTCGACAAGTTTTCATTACCGTAATTGTTTTCGGAGATTTTTTGCGACGATTTTTTCGTTCGATAACAAGTTTTATAACTTGGAAATACATTTGGGAATATTCCAAATTAGTTGCGAAATCCAGCGAAAGTCACCCATGAAGTAAAAATAATTGTTTGTACGGAAAGTGAGGGCCTGCGTACATAAAATTGTCTTTAAATTAAGTGGCGGCAGAAGGATTATAGTTGAACTTTTAAAGTAATCTTAAATATTAATGCAATACTTAAATGCGGCGATTAATTTTGAGTTTTTCTGTAGTTTATCTCATCTACTCCTCCCTACCTATTGTGGTGAAGGCTTAATCAAGAACCCTCTGCATGAGCTAGCATAAATTCTGCCCGACAGGGAGGCTTTTAAGGTGTATATATATATATATATATATATATATATATATATATATATACAAGGGGGTGCGATTGATAAATTGACGCCATTTTATATTTTTATTTTCGTGCATGCGTGATGTTTGTATTTGATTTTGTCGACTGCACAGTATAGTAGGGTCAGTTGGGCACCGTGATGATGCAACTCACTCCGTGAGAGATTTGGAAAGGGTATACTGTCCTGCTTGGCATTCGCGCTGGAAGCTCCAATACGAACATTTCAAAGTGTTTGTGTGTCAATCTGAGGCCAGTGCAGAGGATTCGGAAAGATTTGTATGATATATCCAGTCAACATGGTGTTTGGAGCGATCTCTAATGATGGCAAAATTATGCATCCATTCATCTTCCCACAGGGCCTCAGACTCAACACGGAGGTCCACATCAAGTGTCTTGAGGAAGCTCCAATACGGACATTTCAGAGTGTTTGGATGTCAACCTGAAGACAGTGCAGAGGATTAGGAAAAGGGTTGAATGAGTCTAATAGTGATTACGAAGGTACGGAAGCTCGCAAAACTCACTCTGATCGTTCTGATAATAAAAGAACTCCTAAATTTGTTGTTGAGGTCCTCAGACTTAACACGGAGGACTACATCAAGTGACTTAAGGAGGTAGTGCTGCCCTGGATCAAGAGGGTGGCTACTGGAAACCCCTATATCTGGGAACAGGACTCTACGCCATGTCACGCAAGTAGGAGAACCCAATCATGGATGTCAGACAATTTCTGCGACCACATCACCCCTTGCTACTTAACGCTCCTGACTGCACCCCCTTGATTAATATGTGTGAGGTGCAGTTGAGTGAGAGACCGACAAGTCTCCTTATAACACCAAAGATGTACTGAAGGCAAGGATTATGGCACCATTCATCAACTTAAACAAGGAGACCGTCCAGAAGACTTGCAGGAGGTTCCGAAGTCGCCTGAAGGCATTGGTTGAAGCTAATGATGATTTCATTGAATAAATTAACTCTTTGGTATTTCAAGATATTTTTGTGTAATTTTGGTAAATATATCTGTTAAATTGAGATGTCATTTTCATTTTTTTTTTTTTGCGTAATTTAGACGACAATTTATCCATCGCTCTATATATATATATATATATATATATATATATATATATATATATGGAGAGAGAGTTAAATTAACTATGAGAACAAAAACATTTCGATTTCATTTTTGCCTTGAAAAAGTTGTTAGGCGAAACGCGTCAGCAAAAAATAGATTTTTTACAATTGTCATCTTATACCATCTATATACACACATATGTGTGTGAAAAATTTCAAATTAGTTCATGCCATATAATAAATAATCTCTTGAGAAAAGAACAAATTTGAAATAGCTTTACACCATAAATTAACGTTTTTTAAAAGAAAATTAATATCTTTTAAGAAATATGTGGTTTCCAGAAATAGATTCAATTTTACGATCATGTCTCCTCATGAATGGTTGTAATCTCCGCAAACTCAGAGGTTGTACAATCTTCTTTTTTTCCATTGCTATAATTAAAGCAATATGTCTTGATATTGAACTCCATAATTACAAAGGCTGGTTGTGTTCAAAGCGTCATTTTCTAGAAATACCCCGGTCGATTGATTTTAATAAAAATATAAGGAATTTTCTTTATAAGGATATGAGGAAAATTTGACATTTAGTTGAAAAAATCGTAGCAAATGATAGTTGTTAGATTTAAAAAAAAGAAAAAAAAACACTTTATGTAAAAAAATACTTTGTAAAAGAAATTGTGGTATAAAGTCAAGAAAAAGAATCAAAAGGGATTTTAAACGACGACTCTGATGTTAAAAGGTTATAAAAATTTGACAAAAAAAAGGATAAATTTAGTTTTCATTTTTTTAAATTGGATTAACAGGTCAATATTGTTTGAAAAAAAAAAGACAGCTGTGTTACTGTTGATATGGCATCAATAGTGATATTGTCAACAGCAGAAACCGACACACAGACAAATAACTGTTCTTTACCGTCTTTCTTTCTTTCTGGTTTCTTAAACGTTAATCTAACCCCGTATTCAAATAGTAAGGTGATAATGTAATGGACACGGCATTTACCGGCTGACCACGAGGCTGGACATTCTAATCACGACTTAAGTATTTGTGTTACAGAAAACTAACAAAAAGAAGAAATGACATCGGCCTTTATATAAGATATCTGCTAATCTGGGATAAAATATTTCCTCATGAAAAAAAAAAAGAATGACGAAGTTAAGGTTTTTAAAGTTGTTATATCTTGGCTACATTTCGACTAAAAATAGATAAGACTTTAATTAATCGAATGAATATACTTCAATCCGATGAGAAAACCAATATCATCATAATAATAATACCGTCACCTTATTAAGTTGATGCGTTTCCAACAATTCAGAGCAAAAAAAAAAAATTCTTAAACCGCATAGATTTCTAATATTTGTGTAAGTGTGAGACGGTAGCAACAGCTTGTACTATCGGTTGTAAAAAGTTTTAATTAAAAAGTACTATTATCATAAGTAGTAGTAGTAACTTTGAGAGCAGCATGCCAACAAAGTAACGCAGAGGTACAAATATACGAAACCCATTATTCCCATCATGACATTCAGTCTGAAAAGAGTATATCAGACACACGCATCACAGCCAAATATGCGTGGTGTGGTGACAGGGTTTTATAAAAGCAGCGGCTCATTTAGAAGTACTTTTAAAGTAAATCAACAACCAAGTCTGTATATATATATATATATATATATATATATATATATATATATATATAGTACAGGTAATCGATCCGTTGGTATATAATTATAATCCGGGTGTATCCTAGTAATATTAATTATTAAAACTGATCCAAAGAAAGCTCGATGTTTTTATTTTAACAAAGCATATGTATTTTTTACAGAAAAAAAAATTACCTCAACATAGAGATAGTCTGTTTTAAGCCGTTCTGTGCGCGGCTATCATCAGCCCCTATGTGTCTGTCTCGGAGCATTGTTTTAATTTATATTCAATGTCAGTCCTTCTCTGGTAGACGCCTTGTTAATGAGAATGGGTTTGTGTTAGTGATTGGTGGGGGCGTAAGGTATTTTATTCCGGGGAAAGCGGTCTGGGGTTGGAGTTTATTTATGGTCAGAACCTTTGTTGTTTGTAGTTTAATATCAGGTCCTACTATGTGGCGTTTCTTATACAGGCTCCGAGTGTGTTTTTCTGGGATTCACAGTAAATAGTTTTTGTGCTAGAGGTGTCCAATATTATTAATAAGTGATGGGAGATTTAAACTTAAACCCGTTAAAATTAATGTAAATTAGTTGAGTTATAGATCTATAGATTGTGGGAAATACCCGAGCACCCAATGGAATAAATCATGCTGTCCAACACACTTATATGCGTACATATCTTCATACATACATATATGTACATTTACATGTCCGTACATATATGCCAATATACGTACACATACACCCCTACTTATATACACATGTATTCTTATGTAATTTGGAATTTTTCTATGCCTACATTTCGTGATTAGTTCTCTCCGTTGATTTAATAGTTTGCATTGATCTTTATATTTTATAAATATGGGTTCGAATCTCACCATGGTCGGTTTGTCAGGAAGGAGACTTCCTGATGTTATCGGAATGGATCGAGGTTGAAAATTGCCTGAAAACTATACCACGGGTTGACCCCAGCCTTGTGTGTGAAATTGGGTAGACGGATAGCTGTGCTAGCATAAAAGCCACAAGTCATCGTGACCGAGTTCTTGGGCGTGCTTTGTTCAAATTGGCCTTGTTCAAATTGTTGATCACGCTAGATAACACGTTCTCTCCAGAAACTGTAACTAAGGTCTGCTCAGCATTGTTGCAGTATAAACCACAGGTTGGCTTTTTAGGTGTTGAAAAAACACAAATGTGCCTGAGCGAGAGTCTGCTGTAGGGATTGGTAGTAGACGGTAATCCTCGAATACGAGTGGCCAGCTATTATGGGTGCGTGTGAGGGTGAGTGTATTAGATACGTATAAATTTTCCTAGTACCCTCTTTTCTGAAGACAATAGACTAGAAGACAAACTGTCTAAAAAACTGTAGCCTTTTATATTTTCTTTTCCACCTAAATGAATTTAGACGATAGCACTAAACCCCATTGCCTTATAACTGCTCATTTGTATTTTCTGAGATCCTTTATATTTTCTTTTTAAAAGACAAAATGTTGAGTCTTGCAGCTGGTCTCTTCACTGATCTAACTCTAAGAGCTCAATAGGAGAAAGAAAAAAATGTTTATAGCTTTCAGTACCTCTAAAACCAAGCAAGTAACATCTCATCACCACCGATGGGACACTGAGCTTTTTCCTGTCATAATGAACGGTTTCACTTTAAACGTCTATTGGGACAAATGTTCGCTCCACACGTCAAGTAGAACTTATATATGCGATCCATTACTAAGATTCTTTAAAAATGGTTGGAATATCAGCATAGAATGATACTTTCTTAGCTTACGTGATCTTGTAGGGGATGACAATTTCAACTCGACAGCAACTGATTATTTAAATTCGCGAAGGAGTCCTGCTTTTAACTAATAAAACAATTTTTTAGATTGCAATTTAATTTCTCGAAATTTCATGAAATTATTTAAGTGGGATGAGGTGCGCGTATTATATGTAAAAAAAAATATTTTTTTACCAAGATTTTCTAAAAAAAAAAAAAAAATTCCAAAATAATTTCATTCATTTGTGAATAAGTGCTGAAAATCCGATAATTATTTGATTTTTTCAAAAATTTCCAAATCGATGTGTTTTTCATTTGAAAAAAAAGAAGGTGCACAAACACTAATCGTAAATATTAGCCCGACCGCTGACGAAAAAAAAAAAAAAAAGAAAAGATTTTTACCGTCCTGGGTATGACAATAAACTACATCCGCGTCCTGGACAAGACGATAAATTACATCCGACAGCAAGGCCTCTGATCAGGAGGTTTTGAGTAGCGTGGAACCACCTCTTAATTGCTAGTGTTCCCAGGTCCACCCTGACCAAGGGTGGTAGCACCTGTTAGGGTCCCAGCTATGGGCAAATAGTTAACCCCGAAACTGGGGGCAAAACGTGTAAAAATAGGTTTTAATACTAGCAAAATATTTTTGTAAAAATTTATTACCAGCAATAAATTTTTGAAGAAAAAATTATTATCAGCAATATTTTTTTGGAAAAAACATTATCAGCAATACTTTTTTGGAAAAAAATATTACCAAATATACTTTTTGAAAAAAAATATTACCAGCAATAAAAATCTTGTCGGCATTAAATAACCAATTGAGGTTGATATACCGTAAAACAAGCCAAACCAAATCAAGATTTTTAACCAAAATTTCGAATGTGCTAGAAAGGATTAAAAAATTTAATAAAATAATAAAAAAATACTTTGGTCTTTCCTCTTAATGATAATAACATCAACATTTTGACGATAAAACTTTTTTCGTAATGCTATACAGTTTTTTTCTTCATCTGTGGAGACATAATTCGGCATTCACTGCTATATTGGAAATTCGATATGACATAAAAGTCTAGTATTTGTTTTATTTATTATTATTATTAATTTTATCATTATTATTATTATTATTATTTCTATTATTATTATTATTTTTTAAGTCTGCGGAAATCCTTCATTTTTCTTTGTATCTTCATGATTTTTTTTTTTTTTTTTTTTTTTATTCCGATGAATTTGCTAGCGTTTAGACAAAGTTCTCCTTTTGTGTGCCACTTAATAAGACAATTTATTACTCTATTAAGCTGGGGTTATATATATAAATTTTAGTTCAATGTGTTTTTTTTCCATTTTTATAATTAGGACCTATTAAAAGTTTTCAATTTCCATTTTTTTTTCTATTTCAATTCTAACGTATTTGTATTTGATAGTTTTCAAATCATATGTTACAATGCTGGACAAGCCATATCTTATTATCGTTTTTTCATTAAATTATTATTTTTTTAATTATTTAATTACAATCCTTTTTAAGTATCCTTCATTACGTATCGGTGGAGAATCCCATAGCCTGCCGAGCCTTTACCGAGATAGTTCTTTTTTTAATTCAATTTATAGATAATTTTTTTTCAACCTAACGTCTTGGGATTTGAACGAAATATTTCTCATATAATCAATTTAAAACGCCGAGGCCTGGTTTTTAACTAGATAAAATAAATAATGGCTTGTTGGAATTGGAGATAAATAAAAAGCCGAGTTTCAAACCCAGTTCGTTAAATTCAATTCGTTATATTCATTAAATAAATCCAGGGAAAAGTATGAAGCCAATTCTTCTCCCTCACTAGCTATGGGTTAATTAGTAAGATATGTATCAGTAAACCATTACTATCTAAAGAAAAATCTTACAATCTGAGGAGGCACGTTGAAGTAATGGAGAGCCGAGTTCGAATTCCAGTCGAATCCATTACATTCACTTACGTGCTAATACCCTTGGGAAAGGTATAAATCGTTCTTTCTCCAACTTATTGGTAAATAGTAGGACAGACCAGGTTCTATAGCCTTGGATGGTAATTACCAAAGCTATAGAAAGAAAGAAATGACAATCTGCCTCGTCAGAAATATGATTTCAGTCCAGAATAAGATTTTCAAAACTTTAATCTGATGAACGATATCTTTGTTAAGGAACGAATGTATTTCCATAAAATACTTGTATTTATTTTCTTTCATGTGTCGAGCCTTTAAACCTTTATTTGTTCCATTAAATCTTGAATAGATTTTTTGTTCTATTTCAGACAAACATACAAACACACACAAAAAAATAGATCAGCTCTTTTACCGACGCTGAGTAGGAGGAAAGGCGGTCTGCTTTAACTATGAGAATATGTAAAATTGTCGGTGGATTGTTTTTTTACTTCAAAAGTTCATCGAGTCCGTCATAAATCACCTGGGAAAAATATTCTTCCTTTTCCCTCTCAGATATTCAATCAGCATCGACAAGTTCTTATCTATCCTTATGACGTCATTTCTTTTCTTTTCTTTTTCTTAAACATAATTAATATTAATTTTCAACAAATTACCCGACTCTTCGCATTAAAATTAAATGTATTAAAAAGAATCTTAAATTCACCAGCTGAATATATATATATATATGCATTCAAACTTATTCACATCGTAAAAAACATTATATACATATTTATTAT